GCAATTGTGTGACTAAAACGTGAAACGTATATTACGTATATTAATTCTGAATTTGAAGTCACTATTGGGAGGGAAAGTTCTCAAGTATATATTTTTTATAATTTTGAAATATAAATATTTTTAAGTTGTTTTTTAGGAAAATAGACGAAAATTGATCATTCTCCCCTTTATCTTCGAAACTACTGAGCCTAAAGTTTTGAAAAAAATACAGAAATTGTCTTTAAATCTCACTATTGTGCGAATAAACCTATATTTGCTGTTGGAATCTATTGGAGAACATATTCTTCAACTACAATGGTAAGTTTGTACGGAAACCTCTCCGCGCGAGTTCATCTCGCACTTGTCCGGTTTTTTGGTTCTATTACTTATCTGCAAATTCACTGCTGTGATGCACTTCTATGTCATCATATCATACAATAATTACAATAGTTATATTTGTTTGTAGGTTACACTGAAGCCAAGACGCAAGGTATCTTCATATGTGTACAGAGATATATCGCCAGTACCCAGTAGCTCTATAGCAAACGATCTCGATCAAGATATATCCCCGAGGAAGAAAAAAATTAAGAAAACTATCTTCTTAACAGGTGCCTAGATACGAAAAGAAAAAACCTGAAAAACGTAAGTGCGCAAAAAAACGGGCTATGGCCAAAGTGGTAAAATTTAGTGAAGTGATAAAAAATCTAGAAAGACTTCCATCGCTTGAAGATAACGTTAGTGCTGTAACGTGGGAGGGGTTGCAGGTCCAGCATCGCTTCGAGGCCGCAGTTGGAGTTGTCCTCATGCAGCCAATCGTCGCCATGCAGGCTAGTCTTTGGAATTTGTCCAGCTTGACGGTTGTGGTCGTCAGCTTAGTTCGTGGCCACCTTACTATCGCGCCGTAACTGATCATGGGTCTTATCACCGTTTTGTAGAGCCATAGTGTTATCTTGGGTGAAAGTCCCCATTGTTTACCTACCATCCTATGGCACTACGAGAAGGTGATAGTAGCTTTTTTTCGTTACACTAAGAACTCACGGTGCGGTTTTCACCCGCGTCTGCCGCGGGACCGCGGCATCTGTAGAATGTAACAGTTAAGTATGTAAAATTAGTAGCACATTTCACGGCGCGTTTTACGCCTGTAATGGTGACGGTTGCTCGCGGTTGCCGCGGCGGGGTACTAGTAGAACCGCGCAGGACGCGATGACCTGCGCGCTTGGCGGCCGTCGTCGCCCGCACACTTTGGCGGTCGGTTCAGGCGCAATGTGGTGCAGGCGCACGCAGGGTAAGTTCTCTATTAACCGCGCGACTTTTTAAAATTAACTCCCACTAATTTCGCGGTCCGTTTCGCAACCGCAACGGTTTCGTGCCCGCACAAGCTTGCAGGGTCGTGAGTACTGAAATAAAACCGCTGTCTAGCAGCACCGGCGGGCGCGGATAGAAACCGCTCCGTAAATTGTTAACCTTATTAACCTTAAACTGACGCTACTCAACGAGGGATGTGGTCCTACCTAATCGATAGTTGGAAACCATATGGCTGTTTTTAATATTAAAAAAAATATTCCATTTTTCATACTATAGGTACATACACTGGTACTGGTGTATTATTAAATTAATATATTAATATAAATTATTATTATTTTCTTAATAGCGGCCACTAGGCTTGGACCAGTGTCAATTTTATAAGAATAATATAAAAAATATGGCGATCGTCGCCTGTGTCAATTTTCGATTATACGGTACCACGGGTTGTTGGAGCTGTCACTGTCAAGAGTAAACTCGAACCATCAACGAATTTAATAAATTAAATTATGTTGTTTTTTATGAAGGATTGATGTAATTTTCTATAATTGTTTCTAATTTATTTTGCAAGCACATGTAAAATAAAGCCGATTTTATTTTATTTATTTTTTAAATGCAATTGCTATGAAAATTGAAACAAAGTCAGAAATAGTAATAAAAAACCAATCTTTCGATTTTCCTGCAGCTTCAATCCAACCTTCTTTTATTTTAAACTCATTGGAAAAACTTAAAAATTTAAAATACTCTACGTTTAATCTACGAGTATAATGGAATTTAAATATCTTAAATATCTAAAACACAAATTTTTCTTCAAAAACAGCAACATCCAAATTGACATGAAATTGAAACGGTTATCCGAAATATGAGTTGTGTTAAAGTTACTCGAAATAAAATGTTTAGTAATAATAATAATAATAAAATAAAAGAAATCAATTTAACGTGTATGTTTTTCGCTTCGATATTTTAGGGACTTTAATTACAAAAATCATAGTAAGAAACTCGAACATTTCAGTAAAAATTTATTGTCGATAAACATCACTCTTCGTAAATGAACATCACTATATTTGAGTCTAGAAATTTCTATGGAGACAAAAAGAAAACATTGAATAATAATAGAAATAGTAACTAAAAATGCAAATAGCCGGTGGAATGTAATCTCACTGGTTTAAAAATTTTTGGTTTTCACTCCATTGACTTACAAATAAATGGACGACGGGTCTAATACAAAAACCACGAATAGTTTCTAGTGAAAACTACTTGAACACAGGTATAATGGAGTAGCCTTTATTATTTATAAATAAATTTTATACGTAAATGTTGAATTTTATACAATGCCATTTATTACGAGCTAGGGTGTCTGACTTTTTTTTTACTTTCGAGAATTCTCGTACCCGATTTCTCGAGTTATTCGAGAATTTTTTTAAAAACCGTAAAAAATCAGCTCAATCAACTATAAAACTAAATGTGAACTTTTGAAAGTTGTTTTGGCCTGGGTGTTCTAAGTTATGCCCCGGAATAAATTCCATCGTTCTTGATCCCAGGTTCGATTCCCAGTAGAACCAATTTGGGAAATGAATTTTTGTAAATTGATTCTGCTCTGGGATTCTGTTGCTCTGATACTCATGGGGAGTATGTACAGAGAGTTCCCTAGTTTCAGACCAGGTGATTGTCTTACAATAGAATTCCAAGACCAGAACCATTTAGAAGTTAATTTGTTAAATTGATCCTACCGGTATCGAACCCGGGAACTTCTCATCCAGTGCCCACAATGCAAACCGTTAGGCTATCAAGGTTGTACTATTTGTATTGTATTTATGCATTGTTTGCACGTGAAAGCTACAAATTGCTTAAACTTTTAAAAAAAAAATTATTTCATTTGCACTGTCAGTCTGCTTCAATTACCTTCTTTGTTTCTTAAGTTGGTATATTTTGTCATTCATCCAACTTTTTATTTTTAATGCATTTTGGCGATGTAAGATGTTCTCTGTTAATACTTGTCACTTCCTTCTTAAGTTCAAGCTATGTTTCCTGGATAAATTTCTGTATTCTCTCCTTTCTATGCACAGTTCACTCATTGATGTAATAAATTTTAGCGCGGACCCGACGTCCATTTATTTGTAAGTCAATGTTTCACTCCAATTTTTACAAGGTGTATCGCTACAACTTGACATTTTCACGTTTTACAAGAGATCTTGTACGTACAACGATCGCCATGTCACTGTGGCGATGTTTGTAGGCGTGTCACCTCGATATGGTCATTTTGACCATATCGAGGCGACGCGAACCACGCCCCCATACCATATCTCCCCTTTTTTTCTATATCTATGGTGCGAACCCACAGCCACTACTTGAGAGGTAGGTCAAGCTGCCACGGGGCGTCCATTATCCTTTCTCTCTCTCTCTCTCTCTCTACATTAAATATTACCGACATTTTTGCGTAAATAAATAACACATTTTTTTTATGGCCATTAAACAGTCATTGGCAACTATAGTTGCCAACGACGTTGTTGCACCAAAAGTTATTGGCAACTATGGTTGCGAAACAAAAACTGTCCACTTTTTTTCTACTTTTTCTAGTGCGGTACCTCGAATACCCTTCAAATTTTTACTAGTATTTCTCAATATAACAGGTAATCACTTGAAATTAACGGACATCCCTACCAAGCAAAGATAAAATAGAAAATAAATGTCAAAATTACAACTTGTGGCGCGATTGTTGACGTTGAGTGTTAGCTGAAGATTTCGACTAATGAATGCCATTACTATTTATTTTTGCAATCCTATCAAAATGATGTCAGGATATGCTTTTTCCGATGGTGTTAAAACTTTAACATTCGATATCATATAGGAATCACCATCATATTGAAAAAAGGTCGTCAAAATGAAGGTCATTGCACCTTGCGATTGTTTTTTAGAAAAAAAAACTTATTCATTATTAAAAGACTTTTTTATAGGGCAATATTTCAAACTTTTTATTAATTAATTAGATATACATAAATATCAGAATACAAATTATAACTTACGCGTTACAAGTTGAACGATAACTTAAACATTAGAACGTGTTACAATTTTTTTTTTACAAACAATTACCTAACTGCTAAAAAGACATTAACCATAATCAAATTTAAAGTTTTCTTATTGCATCGATCATTTATTTCATCAAACAAGATCTCGTTCCTGAATTTAACTTCATGGTGGGTTAAAAAGCGGCAACGAATCAAACATTAGGACACAAAGTAGACCACAGCGAGTGGACGACAACGAGATGCGCGCGGCCGCGTAAAAGTGCTCTGAGTACCATGGACTCTTATTACACTTTAGTATAAGTTCGTAACGGCAAAAAACCGTGATGGTGTTATACACTTCATGTAGCGCTGTCTCACAACGATTCTTTTTATTTCCTATATCTAGTCTGTCTGTTTTTTAAAATGGAGTAAAATGACAGTTCATCACGCAAGTGTTGCCCGCTTGCAAGCAGCTAGTGATTGCAGTCGATAAATATTCCATCGACTATCGATTGAATATTGGTTACGCAATAAATTTGTTTAACTACTGGGCAGAAGTTCATTTGTATTGTCCATTTTTGTAAGTTCTTACATACATACACTACATTTAGAATAATGTCTATTAAAAATACAAAGAGAAGACATATTTTAATGTTATATATTTTATAGTAACGCAATTAGTAATAATTAGAAAGTAGAAACATTCAAAATTCAGACAAATGTTACCTTCTTTCACAATCTATCGATAAAATAATCGACAACAACTACATGATTATTTAAAATTTTATAAAAACTGGCAATCCTGTCAGTGTCATTTTACTCCGTCTTCAAAAAAAGTCGGACTGTAAACTGGATCGTAGTTCATAGTAAGACCTCTGTGTTCCTAACGCCAGCGACCAGATCGCTTAGTTTGCGACGGTAAAAGTGATGTGATGAGAGTGTGAGCGCGATGTCGACATAGTGACGTGACCTTTTTATAGTTCCTGGTTCTTTTATTGAGTATGAGTTATTATGGGCGCAAGACCAGACGCAAATAACGTGACGTACAACGTAGACGTACTACAAACAAAAATCGCCGTAATTACGAAGACCAAAGACAAAATCCGGATAAGTTCTATGATGTGCTACAATGACCGTGGCAACGTTTGACTATATTCTTACAAATGTCAAACCAGAATTGGAATCGCACTCTAGTTCTGAACGAATACTTAATATCTCTATTCTTCTCTTTATAGCGTTTAATAATATTTATGGTCGACATGTATGCTGTGCCATATTGGTGGTCTTTCTAAGCTGAAATTATTTCCTCCGACGACATCTCTAAATTTGATTGATCGAAAAATAGGTATGGGTATGCAACAAAACCATTCGAACGCGCATTCATAGCTCGACTGAAACGCGACATGTACCGCCGCGCGGGCCGCTGCCGTCGAGAATAGCCTATGTAAACTTGGCATTTTATTTTGATCAAGTCGCGCAAGCTACCCGCAGTCGTCCAGTTTCCAATCTAAGGCTAAGAACGCACGGAATGGTTTCCACCCGCACCCGCCGACCGCGGGCCAGGGGACAGCCCTTTTATTTCAATACTCACGGCAACGCAGGTTTGTCCGGACATGTAGCCGCCGTGGTTGCGGAACAGCCCGCAACTTGGCGGGAGATGATCGCAACTCGCGCCGCTATTTAGGATTGATAGAGATCGTCGCGGGCGCACCAATCGCAGAGTGCACGGGCGTCGACCGCAAACCACGCTGATGATCGCGTCCCGGGAGGTTCTAGCCGTTCTAGTAACCGTCCGCCTATAACGCGTCGTGAAATATGCACTAAATCTCACATACATATCTACATTCTACGGAGAGCGCGGTCCCGCAACCACTGTGTGTACGGGTGAAAATCGCTCCGTGAGTTCTTACCGTGGAATACGATATTTTACAGCACCTTCTCTGTAAGTATATTTTCATGAATGACGACCTTTGGTTGTTGTATTCTCATATGTAGCGACACTGAAGAAATATTATAATTTAGCCTTTTTTTGCAGCCTTCTGCGCTGCTTCTTCGGCCTTCTTACGGAGTGCTGCGTACGCCTCAGCTCGCGTAGTGTTGATCATCTCATATTCCGCCCTTTCGGCTTTTAGGGGCGAATATCGCAATGCGAAATCTGTGTACTTTTCAAGATCCTGAGAATAGTAGAACGATTTGTTATTTATTAAATTATAAAAAAAAGATGATCCCATATGACACTTCCTTTGTTGTTTGTCATAGGGATGAGGTAAAGTCGACAGATTTTTAGTGTATTTTTTTAATTTTTGAAGCACAAATTCTCTCTTATTTATTTTACTGACTTATTCTGAACGATGTATAGACATGTGGAAGTGTTTTGCATTATATTGAAGGCATAAAATACACAACTATAGGTAATTCAAATACAATTTCAATAGCTATTTTTTTAAGAAAATTTCATATCCTTAAAAACATTTACATATCCTTAACTTACAAGTTTCAAAAAAGTAATAACACTGTCATGTTAATTCAGTGCATATTGTTAAAATTCATACTTTTTTGAATAAATACCCGAACTAATTATTAATTAAATTATCGAAAAGTTTTTATTCATATACCTCATCGCACCTTGTCGTAAAAAGTTAATGAATTAAAAAAATTGTTTTCCCGCTCATTTCCCATTTCATTTTTACTTTAATTTAATGTATTTACTTAAACAAAGGCATTTAAAAGCGCATCTTATAAAAATGCTTTATGAAATATGTATATTAGTGCACGTCGTTACAAGATTATATTGTACAGATTTTTATAAACTATCACAGAGATCATCTTAAATTAATTGGACGTAGTTAAACAAAAAGGATTCAATGCACATCCAGTCACTTTCGAGATATGGCAGTTTAAAGTTTAAATATGTTTCTCACTCTTGTTTTATTTTCAAAACTTATAATGTCATGTAACTCCAGATATATTTATTTATGTTTATATGTTGGATTTTTCTTTAGCTGATGTAAGAGGTTAAACTTTAGGAACTTTATGTTTCGGTAATTTTGTGGATTGGATAATTTTTGCTTAACTACGTCCAACTTTAGTACTTATAAGCGCGCTTGTGCACTGCATCCGGTTCGTATTCGTTCGGAATCCGAGATTACACGAACATACAAAACTCGGACGCATTTCGGCTATCGCTTGTGCATTAAAGTCCGAGAAAATACGATTATCGCTTGTACATCTACAATGGAAGAATGGCCTAAGTGGTGTTACGTCAAAAATGTTTATTGCTCTATTAGATACAGAAAAATATAACCCACATCCTCTCCAATTCTTGTAACTCTATCGACTAATATTGTAGACAAAGTTACAAGAATTGAAGAGGATGTGGGTTATATTTTTCAGTATATTCTAATGAAGCAATTAGCGTTTTTTTTTTTATTGTGACTCGGCAAAATGACTGCACCGCGCCTGATGGAAAGTGCGAATACAGTCCAGAGATGAGAGTAACGGATGGAAAACACAAATATCTTCACTCCGTCACTATCATTTTGCCGGTCTGGCCCAATGCTTCTTCACACTACGTTTGAAGGACCCGATGTTATAGAGGGGAGGGAATACATGCGCCGGGAGTTGGTTCCACAATTTGATGGTTCGGCATAAAAACGAATTGCCAAACTTTTTAGTGCGGGACGGTATTGAACTGACCGTCCAACTGTGGCAACGCAGTCCGGCACGGGTGGTCCGCTGATGGAAAGGAGAGGAAGGGATATGAATAACTCTTCACTTGATCCACTTATGCCATTCTTCCATGAAGCAAATGAAATGGAACCAAAATATGAAAGGTTTAAATACTCTTAGCAGAGTAAGGGTAGTATTCTAGAACTCTACTCAATGCTCAAGTCAGGATCTGAGTATGGTTTAAAGCATTCGAAATCATACTCAAGTCCCTGCCATTAGGGTCGTATTTCCAGTGCTTGTGTTTCCAGTGCAATCCTGACTTGAGTATTGAGTAGAGTTCTAGAATACGACCCTAAGATTCTTAGTAAGATTCTTGAACCTCGTATCGTCTCGATAAAACAAAGGTTCATAATCTATAACTCAGATTTTGACCACCTCTGTGGCCCAGCAGTGCTTATATATGCAAGATAAAGGTATAAGGTAGAACTTATCGTCATCGATCCATTTATACGTCCCACTGCTGGACACGGGTCTTCTCTCAGGCTATAGAGAGTTTCGACGTGTAGATTTAATCATGACGTTTTCCTTTTGAAAACTTTCAAATAGTGGAAATTTTTCCGGAAAAATTCTCGAAAATGGGAAATATTTGAATAATTAGAAAAATATAGTTTCAAACAAAAGTTTGTCTACTTACGAAGATCGACAACTGCTCAATTTCATTTTCAATCATGTATTCCACAAACTCGGACTGATCTAATCGTGTTACGTTCAATCTGAAATCAGTTCGGTAACGATTCATCTTCCTACAATTTAAAAGTACAGTAAACAACAGTATTTATTTATTTATATAAGTAAAAGTGAGGTGCGCTGGTTCGTTCCGTGACTTAGTTGGTATAGCGTCTGACACGGTAAGCTAGAAGACGTCGATTCGAATCCGGCCCGATCGAAGGAATTTTTTCTGAGTGTTCGAACTTTGTATTAATAATTATAACAAACTAGCGGAGTAATTTCACAAAAAATAATTGAATATCGATTCAATAAAAATTTTAATGAACATAATTATTTAAATTGTTTTATTTAAAATTGATATTCAATTATTTTTTGTGCAATTACTCCACTAATTTGTTACAGTTATTAATAGAAAGATTAATAATGAAAGGCGTCAAATGGTTCATCGGCAATATCATTGACAATCACTGGCTTACTCTGTACTTTCTGAAAAATTATTAAGAAATAGTCTCAGGTATACGTTCTGCACAATTTTTAAAGTGGACTCTCTTGTATTAAAAAAGTGTATGAGTCTTGCAAATAACGCTACATAATTATGTGAAGTCTCCCATCCGCAGAGAGCCAGCGTTGTGGTCTATCGTAAAATAGATCGTGTTCACAGCAGCAGTGGATGGTAATGCAATGCGTTGAAATAAACATACTTGCAAATTCTCTCCGAATTAAGAACACTGTGAAACACGTCCATTATGGCGCCCATGCCGAGTCCTTTGAAGATCTGCGCAAGCGCTTGCGTGCAAAAATCCCGGGGCATACTTCTTATCCTGAAACATAAGATAACCGATGGTGTTAACATAATTGTGACTACTGTTAAACTGCAATGTGGATGATAAGGAATTTTGTGAACATTATGAAAACTATAATTTTTTTTTTTGCATCTCTAAAGTTATATAGCTATTTACGGTAAGAGATTTTAATTCGAAAAATATGTAAATTCACGATTTTGACATTACTTCTAAACACAAACTAACGATCAAATATGAAAACAGAATTGGCGTTCGTTAAAAAAATATAGATAGACCGTATTCTTAAGCAAGTCATCGCCCGCGACGCTACTTTTGAAAAAAACAATGTTTTAAGCTCTTTACAGATCCCATGCCATGGTCAGGAACTACTCTCGAAGTCCGTCAACGAAAAGATGGGCCCACCCGAAACTGTCAAATCGCGTTGTCATACATTCTTAGTTCTAGCCCCGAACGAAACTCAAGTCTGTTGGTCATCCATTGCGGGAAATTGGTCGCAACTACAGATTTCCTGCTTCTAGAGTAGGACCCCTGTAAAGATCGCGAAGCGTTGGTTAGTTTGAAAAAACAAATATACGACAACGCTGCTGTACCTAAGGCGACTACATTACTCCACCAAGTCTAAAGAGATAGTGGGGTACATCAGACTAAAATCCGGATACACCCTGAGGGTCGAGCGGTTGGAGTCCCGCCACAACGTGAATTTTAATTCGTTTGTAGTGAGAGTGCCGACCGGACATCTGTCGACCTTTATGAAGGAAGATCGACAGATTGCCGATACAGATCAACTACTATATTCGCATAGCACGCTAAATGCTAAATGCAAAATTTTTATAGCGCGCTATTTAAAGTGCTAAAATTATAATTTTTTGCAGCTCAAGCTCGTGTGATAATGTAACGAATGGTAAGCAACGTGAAATAGTTGACGTGCGCTAACTTGTTAAGTACAGCAAGCATCTATTGTCTATCTATAGAATAGTTTACAGTTTTTTATGGTTAGTTACGACCGACTTCATTTGTTTTGTAACTATTACATAATATGGTGATTACAGGTTATATATGATAAATCAATGAGCTTCCCTTCATACTTTAACAATTTACTATTTACAGTTTGCACAAAACTTAACACTGGTTATTTACAGTAAATTGCACTAGTAATAATTAATAATAACGCACACACTCGTACTTTTATATACAAATATTACAACGATTTATTAATTAAACAAACGCTAAACTAACTAAATAACTGCAAGTACTTAATTATATCTTAATTTAAATCGCTTCACCAGATGAAATTTTGCTAACGTTCCACCATTCGCTCAAAATCGTATTAAAACGTAACCTAAATTATAATTTATAATATAACTACAATTATAACACATGCTAAGTGCTAAATATAGCATTAGCGCTTAGCGCACTCAAACGTGAAGTTTAACATCAATAAACCAATCAGCTATTTCGCACCAAACGTTTGCTACAAATAGTATGTGAAAGTATTTCACGTTATAATTGTTTCAACCAATGACAAGAGCCGCAATTTTCACATAGAATATAGTGCCATCTATTAAGGGAGATAACTCAGGACAAAGAAGGATTTTGTTTGTTAGCTGCGTAAGTAAAGCATGGATAGACTGATGGTATGGCATTGAAATATTGTAAAATCATGTCGCTATTTTGTCGCAATTATGTCGGCATTTGGTTTAATTTTCTTAACATATTCCAATCCAAAGTAAAAAAAAAGTTCGTTATAATTTTATCACCTTTATGTCTTTCAAATTATAATTGCTATAATTATTTTTTTAAATTAACGATATAATTTCAGCTATATATTATATTAACCATCTCTAGTTGCCGATCGCATTGACTGAACGACAACATGGCTATTTGAATATAGTTTTTATTTATTCATTACGATACTTGTACGTTAATATAAAACATCATTGTACGTTACTATTTATAATGGTCGTGAATTGTGCTGTGGACGGCTGTTTATCATCAATTTCCGAAAGATGAAACGAAGTAAGTATTAAACTTATGTTTGAGACTCATTCAGTTATTGTTTTCTTCATTTATTTACTGCAGAGTAATATATGTATGTATAAAAAATACAGATTTATTATATCAATATAATGAGGCGCCATGACTTCGTGACCTAGCAGACAAGGGTTTTCGAATTTTCAATTCACATTGCCGATAAATAGTACGTAAGTAGCGAATATACCTAATTAATGATGATGAACTTGGACACTCAATTTCAAATACCTTGGTTACCTTATTTAAAAGTACATGTCCAAAATACAAAATTTTAAGTGCTTTTAATATATTTTATAAACAAATCTTCAATATTACTCTAGTTAGTGAGTTAATGAAAAATATGATATTATATCGACATAAATACATTATAGAAATGTGTAATTATTAGGATTCTGGATTCTATTAATATAATCATATCTCTATGTTACCGCTCTGATCACGTAACGTAATAGTGCAAGAAAGTGATGGGTAACCCTACCACTAGACGCACACATTTGCGCGTGTGCAGATAGCGCCTTGCTGTATGTAGTAGTAGTAGGTAAATAATTTTCGACTGTTGTATGGAGTGTCCGGGGGTGAGCTTAAGGTACCTATATATTAGATGGGTCATGTGGCCTGAAATAAATGTCTAAATAAAATAAAAAGTCTGACCAACAATCTGGCCAACGAGAAACACTGACTTTAGTTCGAAAAAATAGTTTCATTACTTATTGTATACTCACTTCTGAAAAGCCCAATAAAAAAACTGTTGTATGCTGCCATAGTCCGGCCAAGGCACCAAAATGGTCTCGTCGAACGTTTTTATCATTCCACGCGCCTTTGCTACCCATGGATTGGAGCATGTCGCTAGAATGAGAAGTGCCATTCAATGAAACAAATTCATTATCAATTAATCACTTCTTGTCAAAGTTTCTCTACAGACAGGTTTACCACCCGGTTTACAAGTTTATAGGCCACCATCTTGGCTCCAAATCTGTTACGGTGAGTCAGATAAATCATTAAACACAGAGGTTACATTTTTCATGGTTAAAACAAGGAAAATTAGAAAAATGCCACATGATTCAAATTAAATACCAACTGGCCACCTTGGATTCAGTTAAAAAAGCATGTCAAGAGGCATATAGGTGACTCGGATTTAGTAGAGACGAAGCTACAGAGCCTTCAACACTGCCGTAAAGTTGCCTGCTTATCGGTATTCTACAGGATATATCACGAAGAGCATGTGACGGCATGCATGATTTAATTCTAAATCAAACCATCATCGTTTGCTCTGGTGGGAACCGAAGTTAGAACCTTCTAAACAGAAAGCAAGCATTATTCTAACTAAGTTATAAATGCTATTTGTCTCCAATTCCTGATCCACATAAGCAAATTAAAATATTCCCTGGCTGATCAGGCGAAAGATAATTTATTAAAAATCCTTAATTGATCCTGGTTGATATCAAACTGGGGATTATAAATAAATTGTAAATAGGTATTTATTTACCGATAAATATAATTTTCTCGTCAACTGGAATAGACTTGAGCAACTTTTGTAACGGCTTCTTTAACGATTTTGCCTTTTCCTTCTTTTCGGCTGGAGGTACCTAAATGCCAAGACCAACAATACTTTATATTATATCAATCTGTTACTTTGGATTCGTGCAAAGCTTTCGATAACATCGTAATCACAGAAAGCTGCCCTGTGGTACCCCTTAAGGCTAGTAAAAATGTATTAAGCGGTGAATAAACAAAACAGTACAAATAAAAAAACCTCTTTTTTAAATTCCTTTATGAAAGCATTAAGGTCTATTATGAAAGTGGAACTATATTTCACAAACCAATACTAATTCATTGTTTACGACTAGATAACAAAATAATGACATTATTCTTGTGTGGAAATCGCTTTGAATCATACAGCCAGTCATTTGCCAAAACAAAGTGCAATAATTGTTTAGTACTAAGTGATGTCACTATTTACGCCGACCAGTGAACGAAATCCAGATTTTCCAGATCCAGAATGTCTTATAAAAAATCGGAGCGAAGAACTGTGTTTCGGCAGCTATATTACTTACTACTTTGATTTTTTTGTTGTTCTTTAGACACGTTATAAATTCAATGTTATAAATAGTTATAAATGAAAGGGAAATTGTATTTAACAAAATTAAATTAATACCAAACCTTCTTGTAGAACACACGTTCGATATTCTTGCAAAATATGACAGAAGGCTGGAAGACTCGGGCGGCTTGGAAGACTAAGTTCAGATACTTGGGCACCTTTTTTATTTTGGCGCTGAATACGTCGGGAGAAATGTCAAATTTTACTGCATCTGTTGGTACAAAGATTATGGTGCATGATACACGTAGAAAATTCGTTCTGGTTAATTTGACAAAAGGTGAAGAAAGAAATGGATACGAGCTGTCAATGCAGGTGAAAAATATAGTAGGTCCAGATTCAGTTTCTGGTTCCTAGTAAAAATCAATTTTGTATACATTGAAATCCTGTATATTGATAGAAGGTTTTATGGCGCTGGATAAAATGCACCATATCGTCGCCTTAGTTTCTCAAACTCGTATCTTAAAAAACAAAGTAACTGAAATGCAAAAAATGCGTTGTATATATGCAGGATGATTTAACATCAAATTTCCTTCATATTCACACAGAGACTTTTACCTATTCTTAAAGTAATGCATCCAAATTAACATCCTTGATAAGAAATTTAAAATAAATAGAAATTTTTGCAATCTCCTGAATAATCACTCTTTAAACGATACGAGTTTTATAAAGTAAGGCCTCGATATGTAAAGCTAGAGCGTAGAGTACAGAGAATAAGTACTTCGTAGGACCTCCATACAAACTTTCATCCCCTATTTCACCCCCTTTAAGATTTTTTTTTCACAAAAGGTAAATTACATAATTTTTCTAGGTCCGATCTATCTCTATACCAATATTCATCAAATTTGGTTCAGCGGTTTAGGCGTAAAAACGTAGCGGACAAGAGTTACTTTCGCATTTATAATATTAGTTTAGACGACTAAAAGTTGTTCAATGATCAGTCTTGCCAATTTCACACCCAAAAGTATGGTTGCTTCTTTTTGTTATACTCTATTTTAAAACATACTCATTTCTCCAGCAATAGCGTCCACCATAAAAGACTTTCCATTCCTAGGTATTCCGAGCAGCAGCACTGCTTTGTTTCTCTTTGGAGGGGGTTGCTCCAGACCTGAAGCGAAGACGCAGGATAAAAGTAACCGGCGCCGGATGTCACCATAACCGGGTGAAGGGTATCTGAAGAAAAATGGGGAAAAATTTAAGTTTTTACGGCGTATCTACCATGGATAGATGACGAAAATGAACGAGGAATAGTGCCCCAAAGCATACTAGCAAGCATTCGACACAATGTCGCGATGATCACACTTCCCGAGTGATATGACCAATTCGTTTTAACGTTTTTTTTATCGTTAGACGACTGTCGCGTCTTGCTGTTCCCACTAGACAGTGACGACAATATATCAGTTCACGGCAGCCGCCTTGTCGTTTCCACAACAGACTCGTTTGAAGCTGCGACTATCTGTCGTCACATTTTTAGTGTGACGTCTTATTTATCGTCGAACGACTGTCGATCTAGCTTTTCCCATTGTCAGGACAGTCTGTCGTTGTAAGGTCAAAAAAGTCGTGAACGACAGTTAATGGTGTTGTTCCATGTGTGAACAACTTCATTTAAATATACAAGCCACGAAACTTTAAACTGCACAACTATCTGTCGTCACGACCTAACGAGAACGCGCTCTTAGTCTTTGAATATAGATGGCGCTTGTTGCCATCGACCCTGTTTTACCAAATGTGATCTTTTGCATGGCCAAATATGGTAATAACAAAACGACTTCCGGTAACTTCGTCTTAAGTGTGAATACCGACCCTCACCCCCTAGTGCCTTAATTAGTATTCGAGAGTCCACCATAAACGTTTGTTCGAGATAGGCAGTTTTCATATGCGCGCGTCTTTTCTCCTGTATTAGTTCCTATTTGAAGTGTTAATTTACAACGTCGTTGTTTCTGTGAGTGTTTCAGTGCTCCGTTTTTAACAAGAACTAACGCGTTGATCATGCATCATATGAGCTGATACACTAAACTAAAGACTACGTACTTAGCATCGGGATCCTGCACATTTGCGGAGTAAGCTATGAAACTGTAGTCACCGACGATATCGCAAATTTTCGTTGTCGGACGCGACATTATGTTTAAATCGAAGATTGGCTGGAAACAATTAGTAAGCATTATTGCCGAGAACAGGAAAATGTGGGTTTCAAAACGATATCAATATATAGAAGCTGACAAGATCTTCCAAAAACAAAGGAAAATAATGAAATATCAAAAATATCATTTATGAGAAAAAACTGCGTAAAGGATTTTTCTGTTTATTGTAATTTTTGAGAGTAATAACATAAACAGATACATTTAACTTACAATGTACGTTAGATGTTAAAGAAATCTATCTAGGCGTTTTAATTTTACTTTGGAAATTAAATTATTTCTCTTAAAAAACGAATAAATTTATTTTCCCTCGTTAACGGCCGATAGATTCTAGTTATTATAAAATTACAAAACACTGTGTTGAACCTTGCTGTATTTTGATTTGAATGTCGTTTTTTATTGTTAAAATTTGAGCCACGACATGTTAGTCGATTTTCATTTTTATCTAGTCTAATCATCGGTAAAGAGTCGGCTGTCGGTATTTTACTACAAAGAACTTCCAGTTTAAAAAAAGCACCTAATGAGTAAAGAAACTAAAACAGAAACTAGAATTGAGAAAAAGTAGTAGCGCACTTTACACAGACACTATCGCGCGTGATACTGCAATCGTGCGCAATTGGGCGCTCGTGTAAAGACGTTGGAAGGAAAAGGAAAAGATCGCGCGTTTGCATCATCAGTCTATCCTGCGCTATATTAGCCTTTACACAGACGCTCTTGCCGTTGTAACAAAAACGAACACGAGCAATCGCGCGCGTAAGAACGTTAGCTTAAAAAAAAATCAAACAGGTGATCGCGCACGATTGTGCGTATAGACTTTCCCGCACGAAATCCTGTACGCTACTGATCACGCGTTATAGAGTGACTGTGTAAAGAGCGCTAATCGCACACGATTACTGTATCACGCCTTATAGAGTGTATGTGTAAAGCTCATTATTGAAGAGCAGAATACCAAAACATCTGCTGCCGCTGCTGATGAGGACGTTCTACACTACGTTTGTCGAGCCGTAGTCTCCACTCAAGAACTCGCTTCCCCATTCGGTTATCGGTTGTTCGACATATATGGCCAGCCAGTCGCCAGTAGCTCGCTTATTCTACCAGCTATATCGATGACTTTGGTTGTCGGTCTCATTTCGTATCTTGTCCTTCAGAGAAATTCCGAGCATAGGTCACCCCATAGCTCGCTGAGCGAGTTTTACGTACCCTCGTAGGTAATAGATGTATGGATGAGAGCAGGTACCTCAATACTTTTCAACAACGTGTTATCAACAATGAAAGGATCGGGTGGGAGTGGAGGTGGTTTGGGCCTCTTCCTCGGTCTTCTTTTCGGCCATCGCCATCCCAATCGGCTGTACATCGCTTTTTGGGCTTTAGTGAACGTCTTTAATTCTAACCTGAGTAAATTGATGAGAAAATTAAAATGCGGTGTGCGTTCGTCCTTATGATAACAAACTTCTTCTTCTTCCTGTCCTTATCACACTCTAGGTGGGGTCGGCACAAGATGTATTTTTTTTTCCACCCTATCAGGGGTCATTTCTGTACTCGCACCTTTCTTATCCATGTCATCTTTCACACAATCCACCCATCTTTTCTTTGGACTTCCTCTACCCTTATATCTCCCCTCGACATTCATATCTAACACTCTTATCGTCCCGTGACATTCTTCCCTTCGCATGACATGTCTATACTATGCTAACCTATTATTTTAGCAAATAATTTTTAATACCTCTAAATTTTTTTTCAAGCGAATCAAAATTGTTTTTTTCTACTCCTGTGCGTTAATCTCTGTAAATTATAATTTCAAAAACGATATCACAAAGGTGCTTTTTTTGGTTCTGAACTAAAATTCTATTGTCTATTGTATTCGCCACTGAACTGAAAAATGTCTGTTTCAAAAAAATAACTAATAATAAGAGTAGATATTTTTTTATAATATCAAGTGACGGGACGAACAAGTTGTTGATGTTAAGCTACACGCCTGTCCATAACAGTTGCAGTGCCACTCAAAGCTTTAAAGCGCAAAGATCTGAGGGGCACTGCCGCTGCGCCTGGCACCCTGAGATATAAGTTGATAAGTCCCATGTGCCTGTTAGTCGATAAAAAATACGTAATAGGATAGACTCAACTGTTTTTAACCGACTTAAAAAAAGGATGAGGTTCTTAATTCGACTGTTTGTTTATTTTTTCGCTACCAAGGATGAACTTCGTAGGGTATATTTTGGTTTCATGAATTGTTACTGCTAAATCGGCGCTTGCGTGTTACGACAGTGGCACTGGCGCTGAAACTGCGCTTCCGGATATTGTATGAAAAATTAGTATCAAATATAGACGACACACACACGCACGCACGCCACGATTTATGAAAGGCATAATCACCAATTAAAATTTTTCAAAAGTTTCTTTAGTTTTATCGCAGATTGATCGTAGACAATTCTACTATATTAATAATCATACAAACCTCATCATTTCATCAACGTAAACTCTCGCCTCGAGCTGTATCTTCTCCATCAGTTCCTCAGAGAGTATGGGGGCCATGAACCCATATATCGCATCGCCCCATCTCTCAGGCGGCAAAGTATCAATCAAGGTCCATGCTTGGCGGTACCGGCGAAGAGCCTGTTCCATGAATCATCAGCAATCATATACATTTCGTTATTAATTGTCTTATCTTTCAAACTGATTACCCACAATTGTAACATCAAAACATTTGCAAGAATCAATAGATTCAGGCGTTACTTTGTTAATAAAAATGGCAGTAAATTAATTTGTTACTCCGCGAACCCATTGAAGGTTAAATCGTGCAGCTAGCGCTTGTGTTGAATATTTTTTCATGCAGTTAATTATCCCACCCTCTCTCCGCATAAAATTAATAAAATAAATAACACAAGCGCGACTACAGTCACAAACCACCACTAGAAATACACCCGACACTTGTTTCGCCTCTCCACGACTCTTCGGCCGAGTGTCGAGCAGTCAACAGTCCCTGAGGATGTCTCGTTTGCAAGAATCGAGTTTACTATACAAAAACCTAATGTTTTATTTTTTTTCTTATGTAATGCAACCGGAAGCTTAGAAAAAGTTAAGGCGACATCGGAGGTGAAGCGGGAATAACTGTTTTGCTAGATCGAATATGGCTGAAATATTTACTATTAAAAGCGGTCTTACAAAACCTATACGATACATCTAAGAATATTGTCTAAACAATGTACTAATTCGTTACACGATAGGATGTACTTTACTCGATCATATAAGCTCCCGAAAACAAGCAAAAATAAAAGTCTAGTACGAATTATTTAATAATAACTAACTTTGGAAATAATTTTTATATTATGGAAATTAATCTCAATAAATACTATAGAGAACGTACTAAATTTTGGTTTCCAACTAAAGCCTTATAGGTATTAAATTCACATTTATTCCAAAACTTGAAAATTGGCCAACGGTTTAACGACACGCCGCGGCGCCCACTGCCCTGCTAGTCGCTATCGGACGTTTGTCGACGTCAGGTCACCAGCCTTATATTATCCATATTAATTTCAAGAGCGCAGATTGCTCCATACCTCATCCCCTAAAATCAAATACCTCGCCTTAAAAAATATACTCACATTGCAAAGTTCATCCTGGTACTCCGAAATTTTCATGTCGTACCCCGGGTCAGTGGACGGATTACATCTCGCTTTCACGAGGTTTGCCTTTTCCTTCTTAAGCATTTCTTTCATCTGTTCTGCTTTCATTTTTTCCTCTTCTCTAGCCTTCTCTCTATCTTGTTTTAACTGAATAAGTTTGCAAGATATTTATTAATGTTGAGGCAATGCCACCGATATTAATAGAATCTTTGTCCTGCAGAAACGTGCGGTTAGGGCAATTTACGATCTGGTCCCCAGAGTGCCTATGAGAGATAAGTTTAAAGAGAATAACATTCTTACACTAACGTCACAGTACATTTATGAAAATGTTATTTATGTTAAGAAAAATATTATATTTTTATGAAAAATAGTGACAGACATAACATTAATACGAGGAATAAAAATAAAGTAGCTGTTCTTGACACTCGTCTTCGTAAAGTCTCAAATTCATTAAGAGGCAAAGTATATATACGCTTCTATAATAAGATTCCGATTTATTTCCAAAATTTGCCATGTACAAGGTTTAATTTATATTGTGAAACAAAAAGTTTATACTAAAGGTTTATTGTACACCTCTGCGTATTTGGATGACAAAAATCTGTGGTAGTAACCCGTTTAGCTCATGGAGGTAGTCTCGACCTCTGATGTTTCAAAACAATAAAAAATATTGTAAATGGTGAATGTGTACAAATGTTATTTACAAAGAGCAATCCCTAGAGTTTGTTGCTCATTCTTCTCAGGGGAATCTGCCTGACGAATGAGCGGTAGAGTTTAACCATTGTGACGATTTCAAGTCTAATAATGCTTACCTATGAAATAAAGATTATTTTGAATATGAATTTGAATTTGAACGCAAATGGACTCACAACTTTGCCTCTTTAATAGTAGTCAGTTGTTGGCGCTGTACTACTTCAGCTTTCTAATTTGTGATCTCAGCGCAAAAGAGAGTTGATATTTAAAAGTGATATAAGGCCCATTGGCCTGATGAGTTGCCAGGGATGGATGGCCCTTAATTTCGTCTCTATTTCTGGTTATCGACGCGGTATACAAAACACTCCCCAAAGAGATATGAGTTAAGTACGTTTACGTACGTTTTTCTATTGGCATAAACAACTGAAATATCACACACAGCATGTCCCCTCGAAGCGACGAATTTAAATTATTAGATATATGCATTCCAACCAGCGTATAATAGACTACTACAGCTCCGAAATTGCGCAGCCTGGGTAACTACCTCACAACGAATGGCAAACACGTTCACCACGATAGTGTATGCCAGTGTATGCCATCGGTACGATAAGAAGAAAAAGCTACCGTATACCTAATATATGTATATAAAAATCCATTAGAAAAGCGCGATTAGTACATCCACTAAGGGATTAATAAGGCACAAATTTTCGCAAGAAACGCACATAATGGCGCATTTACATTTCGTCTGCCGAAAGCGACGCAATCGACTCGCCATTTACACCGAGGCGTTTGTCGCTTTTAGCAAACTACTTCACCTGCCGAAGGCGACGGAGTCTACCGGCCATTTACACTGAGCCGTTTGCCGCTTTTAGCATACTACTTCGCCTGCAGAAGGCGACGCAGTCTTCTCGCCATTTACATCGAGTCGTTTGCAGCTTTCAGCAGACTACTTCGCCTGTCGAAGGCGACGTGGTCTAGAAAAATTTTCCTTACTCACCTCTCCTTGGGGTAAATTAATTGTATACAGAAAGCGATTTGTTATACGCGTTCTGGTTTGGTGTATCATGGACCTTATTCATTAGCTGCGAAGTGTCGTTCCACTATACGATTAAATTTTATTATCACTTTCCATTACCTGTTCCTTAGTTTTTCCCTTGGTGTTCTTTGCGTATCTTTCATCCTCGAGCTGTTGTTCTTCTATTGATGGATATTCGCCTTTGACAACTATAACAGTGCCTCCTTCCAGTTCGTAAGGATAAAGCGGGAAGAATCCATATCCATAATACCTGGAATTATCACACCTCTAAAAACAAACAATTCTCCATACATGAAACAAATTATGTATAAGTGATTTTTCTAACACTAGTTCAGTTGAGTTAAGTTGCCATTTTGATGATGTGGTCTTGTTACACCAAGAAGCGAACATTAGAAGAAAACAATTTTTAGTTGCGTAAAATACTTGAAGGCGTGTATTTAAATGAATAGACGTCAATTACGCTTAACTTTAAAGCGTTTTTAGCAAGATCTGTTCAACTTGTGGCAGTGGAAAAAATGTTTCAACGCACTTATATTCGTAATATGTATACCAAGTAAAATTGATATAATTTGTAGAATAAGGTATTATCTAATAATGAAAACCGTGGTTGTTTTATTTTTTTCCATTTTTAACCTAATTTTGGAAATAAACCTTTTTTTGAGAGGCGCGCAAACTGTTGGTAGTTTCTTCTCTTTTACGCATACGAAGGTCGACTGTGATAGCTGAGACGCGTTGCTGGGTGGATTTATGTCGCCCGCATTGCACCTAGTTAGCTAATACATTTCATACTTGTTATATGGTAGGCGTGGCATAAAACATCGATCGCTCAAGATCACCGACACTTTCAGCTTTTTAAATCAAAATATTTTAATCTGTTCTGAGCTAACATTTAATTTGTATAAATTAACTTAGTTAGTTTCTTGTTCAGCCTCAAAACTAAGACAAATAAGTATTAAAAAACCTCACCTCTTTAAACCTAGGCTTGTGTTAAAATACTTCGCCTTAAAGTAACTTTGTTATCTTGTATATAATCAGAAAAAGAAACGAAATGTAATTTAATTTGTTTGAAAAGTATTCCTCATCATTGATGATGATCATTACTGTGACAACTACGCTCCGATTGGCCAACCCGAATTCGAAACAATTGACGGGTGTCGTCAATTGTTTCACTTCAAATCGACAACATTAACTTGAGGGGTGGTATAATGGACGAAACTTGAAAAATTCATATTTACTATTTAATTACCGATGAAAGGTGATTCTGTTTGTGTTGTAATTAGATGTTTTGCTCTTTTTCCCACACCACCGAATGGAATAGCCCCCGATAGTTAACGATAATTATCTTTATTACAAAAAATACTTAATATTTTTGGAATATGCGGAGACGTACACACAGGCAGTTGTTGGCGATGTACTATTTCAGTTTTCTAATTTATGATTTCAGCGCAAACGAAAGATGATATTTAAAAGTGATATAATGCCCATTTGGCTGATGAGTTGCCAGGGATGGATGGCCCCTATTTCGTCTCTATTTCTGGTTATATACTCGATTCTTAGCGTTGACGCTACGTTGACAGCGCTCAACTCTGCGTCACCTTAGAGAATAACACTGTTTTAGAAATAAATTGATTCGCAAAAGCACTTACCATTCCTTAAACCACTCCACAATTTCTTCTGTAATGTCTTCAATAAGTTCGCCTTTTCTCAGCCACAGTAATCTTTTGTTTGTCTTCTCCGACTTTTGCCTGAGATATTCCTTTACATGCTCTTTCTCTTTGTAGTGGCGTTGATTTAGCTAAAATCATACCACCCACGAACACCGTGCAAACGGTTAAAGAACAAAACACAGAATACCAGTGTCTCTACCACAAGTTTACTGTGATAGCGGCCATCCTCACATCGACAACGGGTGTCCTCAGCCTAATTACCGTAGCCATTGTTTTTACTCACTTAAGCTTAACTATCGATATGTCTAAATGACATTAGAATAAACAAAAGAAACACGAAAACTGTTATCATGTAGCCGAGTTAATTGATATGTAACAAATATTACCAGTTCTGTTTCTTTGGCATAAACCAACGGCCTTCTGTCAACGTCTGGAATCATGCCCAGAAGAATATCCCTTTTATGTTGCTTTGCATTTTCTCTCTTGATACACATGAATTTCCTACAATTAAAGATTAAATTAGCGGTTTATCATACGATTTGGCGTATTTCTTTCCAAAGCAGTTGTAGTGATCCGCAGAGTTTTATATCGGAAAGATCTGAGAGGCACTACCAATCTCTGCGCTTGACACCCGCAAACACGAGTTGACAAGACAGTGTTATGTATACACGCCAGCGCATCAAGCTACACACGTTATCTTGTTTCGTTGCACTGGAGGCGATTTTCAAACAAAAATGTGTAGTCTGATGTGCCGTTGTCCGTACCTGTTGTTTCATTAGCACCCTCACCCTTCAAAGCTGGAACGCGGTAATGCTAGTGTTGGGTCATGGAAAAATTTCCATTTGGAAAAAAAAAATTCAGAAAAATAAATATTTTCCCCGATATTTTACCAAATTAATTTACCACTTTAATTTTCCACATATTACGTTGACACTGAATGAAAACGATGGAGCCATTAAAAAGGTTTTTTCTTTCGCTGTTGTGAAATCATTTTAAATCTCCTTTTTGTTTAGGTGGGTTTTAGTTTATTTTATTATTCACCCTAAATAAAACTTCAAAAAATATTTCTAAGCGTACAACATAATATGAGCATTACATTTATCCAATTGTTCAGGATTTTTTCCGGAAAATTTTCCACTTTTTTTTAATAATATAATAGGCACACGCTTGGCCACAATCTCACCTGATGTTAAGCGACGATATGACCGCCGATGGGACACGTTTGCCTAAAAAATGCCTATTCACTCTAGACTTGGATAGCCCTAAACACAGATTATTCAGAGCATTCTACTCTTTTGCTGTACCCATCAGAAAGCAGGAAGCAAAGCGCTTAGTGCGAATAGGTGGTATATCAACAACATAAGGATGAAGTAATAAGTAAGTAAGTTCCGGATCTTCTAGTCGACCGAAGGAGAAACGGTGAGGGTGGAACTAAATTGAAAAGCTATTATAAGCCACTATTTGAAATTTTTCGGAAAATTCCCCAACAGTGGGTAATGCTCATACTTGGCGACAGAATTCTTTCGCAAAGAGCTCTACTGCTATTAGACCTCCACAAGCAGTCTGAATGTCGTCTACCGTTATGGCGCATTTACACTAGGTCTACAGGTCGCCTTCTCTTGTCAACTAGGTGTAATTACTATCGGGCGAATCGGTCGCCTTCGGCAAGCGATATGGTCCACCAAACAAGTTTCAACGTATCAGCGGCCGCGGTGTAAACAAAGGGTAATCCGCCACATTTGATCTCGTTTACACGCCAATAGTATCTGCCGTCTATCGACTATCGTCTATGATATAGGTTGACAATTTTTTTGGTTCACCACCCATTTAGGCAAGGTGAATAAATCTCAACTCCCCGAATTGCTTGCAAGGCCCCTACTTAAAAGACTTAGGTATTGGAGTAAAATATCACTCAAATACATAACTTTATTCAATATAGGTTGTATTAAAACCTTTTGTAGGTCATTATATTTTGAATTTTGGTAAGATTCGTAAATTTTCTTTCTCGCGACCTGTAGTTTCTCACGCCATTTTCGCAAATTTTCCGCGAATTCCGACACTGATTGTGATCGTCATTGTTTTTAATTTATTTTAAAAATAGTAAAAAAATATTTCATATGATTCTTAAGTGTTAATCGACAGGTGTTTATATGCTCGTCATATTTTTTTTATTTTTATTTATTTAATACTTTTACAAAAACTTAAACATATTACAAGCAGCTGTAGCTCAAAAACCACTAAGGGTTTATCTGTCCACAGCGATTCTCTCTAGCCAGTAAGTACTTCCTTAATTTATTTTTACATTTTCCTTCCACATATAGGTCTTGAATATACCCAGGCAAATTATTTAATAACTTAGGTATTGTATAATCTAGTTTTCGAGTACCATACACATTATTTGTTTTAGGGAGTATATATTTTCTTGTAATATGTAAGGTGGTTAAGATTTAAATCGTAAAACACTATGAAAATTTCTCAGGAGTATTCAGAGTACTCGGCAGTTAGCAAATAAAGTCGTATTACAATCATAACTGTAGTCTAAACAGAAACTACGTAAGTGCTCTTGCCGCTCGATATTTTTTTGCCGTTGCTCAATTGGTTCTCGAGTTTCAAGTGTTTATATTACAAGCGCCTTATTGCGGCTCCTAATGTAAACAATAAAAAAAAAAGGAGAACGTGGCGTGTTGACGCACGCTCGCGCCTGAGCGTACAAATGGCTAGGACTCTTCAGCACTTACAGTGGTAAGGATCACTTTGGGAAACTATGGTCTATCATGTCGATATAGGATCTATGACTTAATGTACTTGCTTACCTGTACATTTTTTGTATTAAAGCAGCAGCCATTTCTTTCAACTCCTCGGAGGGAGGTGTAAATGCAGGTTTGAAGAATTGTCTGTAATTCGCGACTTTCTCCAGGTAGTAGACTAAATAGAACTGCCTGGAAATTGTAACTACATCAGAGTGTGGCCTTCCATTGAATCCAAAGACAGAATAAGTACAAATTTCACCGCAGTCTTTACTGATAAAAATCTAGATTGTTAAGATGAGCTCGATGGTAGTGTAACACTAGAGATGCTTGTTTATTCTACTTTTGAAGATATATTATATGTATTCATAGATGCGGGCTACGTATTACTTTTCTCTGCATGTGAACAGCGTTAATGGGAAGATGAAGGAATGAACTAGACAACAGATAACATCACATAAGTTGCTCTGATCCCAAAGTAAGTAACTAAAGCATTTGTGTTATGGAAATCAGAAACAACGACGGTACCATAAACATCTAGACCAGAGACCATTTCAGTACTGAGAAGTACACGGTTAGATTATAAAGATACCTAATTACGAAAGTATCAGTTCTGTAAGATTATTTTTATGTGTTTTCGAGCTTAATGCTCCTCGCTGCGCTCGTCATTGCACCTAAAAAACACTGGGATTGTATTTATAATACATTATACTCAGTGAATGTTATATCTGAAACGTTTATATAAAATGTACCTATGTACATTATGCCATCGGTATATTAGATTGAAAGTTGTTATATCGACCGTCTGTTATACCCAATGACCTTTATTTCACGCAAAAACATGTGAAATGTCTGTATACCTTAAATTAATTATATCCGTTGAGTGTTATATCGACCAAAAATATGTCATTTATTGTTATACCTTATTATCAGAGGAATTAATTTATATCAACGGCCATTTACATAATATAAACTACTTCCAGGCTGTCGATGAATGCAATTTAGATATAAGATGAATTTTGCAAAAGATTTTGACCTTTCTCATAGTTATGATATATAATATGGAGATATGCAGGCTTTTTGAGTTATTGGTTCATGCAATTTCAAAGTTATTATTGTTATTATTTTAATCGAATTTCGGGGGAAAATGTGGATATTGTGAAAATTATGAAACAGTCTGAGGTGAAAACATTAAGTAAATATCATCCTATGTTTCTGTTTGCTAATATTTAAGCGTATTTGGCTAAAGTAGACTATAGACTACGATATGTTAATGAAGATGACAACAACAAATCAAATTGTTTACCTGTACCGCTCATGTCTCTGTATAAGCAAAGCGAAAGTAAACTCCTGCGGTATCACGGTATGATCGCTGTATGTATATGCATCGTCTGCAGTGACAAGATTAATAATGTCGAGTTATCCAATATTGTTAAGTGATTTATCTTATTAATAAATACATTTTTTCTACTTTAGTCTGTCAATTATAATTTCATAAACCATATCATAAAGGCGTTCTTATTACTTCTGTATTAAAATTCTATTTTCTTAGGTACACGCCACTCAGCTGAAAATTTTCATTATTGTTCTGTACATAGAACTATAATGAGTATTATAGTAGGCTAGAGTTGGGTATTACTGAGCTCTTAAGCAATAAGGCCTATAATACAGTTTAGGCTTGGTTTATAAAAACAAAATTTAAAGTTTTAAGTAGGTAATTTATTTAGCTACACGTATCGAGCGATCATTCGAACACGAAGCGTGCTGTAAGTTTTCAAACTTATTCAATATAAATTTGCGGGTGTTTTCGGTAAAAGGTGAGCCACATTACATTTTTATTTTAAGTAATTGTTTTAACATATTTGAAAGGTTTGAAAGGTAAAATATCGTAGAATTGATCTGCAAAATCATTTCAGAAATATAAATAAATAGTTTAAATATAAATAGTTTGCTTTTTATATTATTTTGTGGTTTGAAAGCAAAGTGACTGTGTTTGACAGTTCCGTGCTCAGAGCAAAGTATTATCAGATTTGGTCTAGTTTATCCCACCTAAGATGCTATCCAAGTACGCAGAGTAGCAGAGTTAGAAATCCGAGAAATAAACAAAACACAAAAATATCACATGAGGCCTTCATTAAGTAAACCTCTTTTGATTAATAAGATTTTACCATATTTTGTCAGCAGTAACATTTTCATTTGTCTTGCCATTCGTCAATTTGATCAACTACCAACAGAAAGCCATCTAATAAAATAATTAAGGCAGTCTAAGTTCATACATTGACGCGCTTTTTCATCGTTTAAGTTAATCGATAAGAACAAAAGTACAAGAAGATGTTGTATAATAAGCTCATTTTATTGGAAGGATTATTATCCTTCCAATAAAATGAGCTTAATGAATAATGAATAAATGAGATTTTAATACTTAAAGTCGATTAAAAATTAAAGTCTTAATTTTTTTAAGGAATCAATTTTATTTAAAAACAAGTAAAGTGAAGGACTTAACTATCTTATTCTAGTATTTTTCTACTATGTTAATATTACGACTACTTATAATCAACAAAAACTTGAACAAAAATTTTATCCATCGAGAATCGATTGAATCGATCGAATGAATCGATTTAGAGCGAGCGGAAGGAGGTTTCCATCACTAAATAGTACATAGTAGTGCAAAGTCATAGTGGGTTCAAAAAATGTGGCACGCTTGGTTTACATACAAATTGCTGTACTTGAGCCGTTTATCTGTAATTACAAGAAAACCTAAAAGGTTAACAATAAATAAATTTAAACAAATAGATATATGAATAACACAAACGGCAAACCTTCCTTTTACTTATTTTCTTAAAAAACTGGAAGATTTGCTCGAAGAGTAGCTCTATGAATGAGAGTCGATACATTCTTTCGATATTTGGTAGCCATCTTGAAATTTTTGGTTATCTTTATTATTTCGACATTTTCGTATGTACGCGTTTTCCACAAACTTATCCTTCTCACTGTTGATGTTGCTGCTCGAAATTTTCCTCTAAGTTCAACATGTTTGCAAAATAAAATTTTCATAGTTTACAATTCCGTGCCCAAAACTGATAATACTGTGCTCTAAGCACGGAATTGTCAAACACAGTCACATTACTTTCAAACCACAAAATAATATAAAAAGCAAACTGTATTTCTGAAATGATTTTGCAGATCAATTCTACGATATTTTACTTTTCAAACCTTTCAAATATGTTAAAACAATTACTTAAAATAAAAATATAATAAAGTGATAATGTAATGAAGTGATAGCATGCATGCGGGGAGTAATACTTGTCAGGCTATGACATTGGGGCACTATAAACTCTTAAACAGCGCGTAGTTAGGGCACACGGACAAGCCTGGCTTGAATTTGGTGTATGCGGCGGCCCGCGCAGTTGTATTATTCAGAGGAATTTAAATGTTGTTGCCTAGTAAACAGAATTCAGACTCGCCATTAATATACATGAAGGCGTGGTAACTTTCGCCCCGTGTGGGCGCTTAGGCTACCACGGCTTTTTAATCGACACTTGAGATACTGAAATAAATAATAAATCTGCACGACGGTTAAACAATTTCGACAGTTTATGATTAGTATTCGTGTAAGAAAAATAGACTTCGTGATAACTTAAGAACTCTCATGCCAAAAAAGTTTTGACGTTGGCTCCGCCCAAATTTGTGAAACAAATATATGCCTGGAGTTCGCGCGACATGCGACAGGAGGTGTTGAATTTTGCGCATTAAAGTACCAAATTCGTTTTAGCGGAATAACTCTAAAACTAAAGGGATTAAAAAAAAATCCGTAGTGACAGTGTCGATCTCGATCTTGCATAAATATAATTAATTATGTAATTTTTGTCCTAATAACCTGTAGCATTTCGAGGATGAATGGAAAAAATGTGAAAATTAGAGGTCATTTCGTGATTTTTATCTATAGAGGAAACTTTATTGTTTTATGTTTCTGATTAATGTCTATGCTTGAATATATCGTGTAGTAACTCATACAATATTTTATTTTTAACTTTAAAGTGGATATACCCCTCTAAAATCAAATCGAAGATTAGGAAGTTTTCCTCTACTCCCTCTTAAAGAATCGGTTTCCATTTAGCCCAACCGAAATTCGTCCATTTGGTCTCGGGCCAACAAATGGTCCATCGTAGTTTGATAGCATTTTTAAATATTATTTTCGTACCGTCTTCAGATTCCGACTCTTCTTCTTCTACTTCGTCCTTAACTTGTCCTTCCTGCTCGTCTGCAGTTTTGGTATCAGGTTGGACGCCATCTAATGGTCCATCGTCATTATCGTCGAGAATCACTGGCTTACTCGGTGCTTTCTGAAAAAAAGTTTTAAATACTAGTTTCAAGTATACGTTTTGTATAATACAACGATTTTCAAAGTGGACTCTCTTGTGTTAAACAAGTGTATGATTCTTGTAAATGATGCTACATTATGTTTTATTTTGATCAATAAAAATTTTATTATAGGGCCATCTCTAGCCAGGGCCGGTAGCTGTAAAGGTACAGGGTGACGAAATACTTTCATAGCTTTCTCATAGATGGCACTACGGCTAAAAGTCGTTGAAAATCAAATACAAAGATCCGCCAACAAGCACATAGAAAAATTCGTGAGGTCCGCGGGTTCCTTCCGTGGCTTAATTGGCATAGCGTATGGCACGGTTTGCTAAGAGACGTCAATTCGAATCCGGTTTGGGCGAATATTTTTATCCGGAATAAGTAGAAGAAAAAAAATCTTTTTGTTAAAATAAACTGAACGAGGTTTGGAGGCTATCACAGCATTTCAAGATATGGAAATCTTGTTTTCGTGCATAGCAGTGTACATTGCCTAGTTATTTGGTACGGGCACTGGGTGACAGTTTAGTGATGACGTGACAGTGAATTATGTTCCATAGGCAATACAGGTTCCTGATGTAGCTGCGCGGTGCGAAGGAGTGATAGTTTAAATTTTTACTGAACAATAGCTTTTACGATCACTACTTCCGTGTTTACAATTTTTCTAAATTCAATTTTTTTTATGATAATAAGGGACAGGACGAACACAAGTCGTGCGCCTGGTGGTAAGTGACACGCCCGCACATAACAGTTGCAGTATGACTCAGAGCTTTAAATCAAAGATCTGAAGGGCATTACTACTGCGCCTGTCACCCTGAAGCAGAAGTTGACAAAACCAAAACGCAGTAAAAGTCACATTACTGCTTGGCGGCAGAAATAAGTAAGGTGGCAGTACTTCCGTGGACGAAATCTTCACAAGCAGTTCTACTGCTACTAAATAATAAATAAATATATAAATAAAAGTATAAAGGTGGTCAAAAGTTACTGTTACGAATGGCCGTACGCGCCTAGCTGGTTAGTGCAAATATGAGTAGAATTACGTAAAAGCTGTGATTGGTCGGGTGGCGTCCGCGGCGCATTGATAGGACCAGTACTGTGTGGGAGACACCATATCGCTACATACATAAGTGAATTTTGGAATAGGTAATGTGTTGATTCGTTCATTCATATTTGTAACTTGTTAGATTACGGATATAGATCACAATTGTTAGGACAAGGTGTTCGTTCAAGAACAGAAATGTATACATTCCAGTTAAGAATAAGAAGCTTCAATGAAACGCAAGATTACGAGTTTTATTGAAGTTAAGTCCGGTCCGTTTCCAGACGGATTCAGCCGGGATCCAACACTTACCTTTTGCTTCTTTGGCTTCCCAGCTTTTGCTTTTCGTCGTGTAGCGCTTAGCCACATCTTTTGAAGTAAATGTTCTTTGGAGGCTGGTCGAGCTTCTAAGGGTAAATGATACGGGACCACAATCTAAAAGACAAATGTACGACTATCAAAGAAGTCTTACTATGTTTTAGTTAAATAAATACACTTATAGCCTCTTCTTCCTCTCACTAGGGAAACCCTCTATCGCGGATGTCACGAACATACACATAAACAACCACAAATTACGCCCAAACTCACGAAAGAAATAAACTGTAGGCCGTATATTCTCCCGGCACGGGACCTCTGAGTAGCAGTTCAGCATGGTAAAGATTCGGCTACGGAGGCAGTTACAATGGTGTTATCTTGAATTTCACGTATTTTTATATCAGCCGGAAAACGTCCACTGCTGAACATAGGTCTCCCCAAAGATTGCCAGACTAGCCGGTCGAACGCGACATGCACCCATCGGTTACCCGCCGCCCTCACCAGGACGTACGTCCATCTCGTAAGGTGCCGTCCCACTTTACGCCTTCCGGTCCGTGGTCTCCATTCGAAAACTTCTTCTGCCCCAACAGCTGTCAGTTCTACGAGCTATGTGCCCAGCCCACTGCCACTTCAACTTGGTAATCCTTTGAAATCTGTATTCTGATTCGATCACGTAGAGAAACGCCGAGCATTGCCGCTTCGTAGCTCGTTGAGTGAATTTGAGCTTTTTATGAAGCCCAAAATAAGTGACCACGTGTCTTATAAAAGCAGTGTATGTTAGTAACTCAATTTTGCTAAAAATTTCGATTACGTTAGTTATGAGAAGGAGGGCAGAACTGGTTCTTAAAATTTACCTCGATGTCGTACGGCGTCATATGCATTTGTATGAGAGCGTCGTCCACGAAGATGTAGTCGTTCACAACATAGTGCACTATCTCGTTGCGTAGCTCATACATTCTGAAGGGAAATTAGAATTAAAAGCACCTTTCTCATTCACTATTGATCAGGAGCGTACGGAATTGCGCGCTGGAAATTCTGCACGCGCAATCCTAATGTTTTTTCGCGCATGATTGCTCGTGTTCATTTTTGTTACAACGGTAAGAGCATCCGTGTAAAGGTTAATATCTCAAGATAGACCGCGTGAAACTGGCGGTCTGCCCCTTTTCCTTCAAACATCGTTACACGCGCGCTCAATCGCGCACGATTGCTGTATCACGCGCGATAGAGTGTTTGTGTAAAGCCAGCTATTATTTCAAATTATTTTGTTGTGATATTTAGTGACGGGATGAACAATCGAGCACCTGGTGGTAAGCAACACGCCTACCAGTTGCAGAACTACTTAGAACTTTAAATCGTAAAGATCTGAAGGGGCACTGCCACTTCGCCCGTCACCCTGAGACATATAATTTGACAAGTCCCATGTGCCTGTAATTTTACCAACACTCTTACCCTTCAAAACCGGAACGCCGTAATGCTCGCACTATGTTGAGTGTGTGCGTTATTTATTTATTATTATTTTATTACTGCTTGGCAGCAGAAATAGATAAGGTGGCAGTACTTCACTGGACGACCTCTTTCACAAGGAGCTGTACTGCTACTAAATCTACAATAGTCCTCATCCATCATGGTCCTGTTGATTACCTATATTTGTTTGTCTTCATCAAATAACTTACCGTTTCAAAATAATAGCAACAATCTCCAGCATATACTCATTTCTTTGCAACTGCATAGCGTTTACGTAACTTTCGTAGATTTTGTTTATAAGATTGCAATATTGTGCATAAGTGCGACCTAACATATCCAGCGGTAGTTTTCTAGACGGAATACGAACGCCTTTGGCAGCTCTTTTCTGAAAAATAATATCCCATGAAACTGCTTCAGTATTGCGCTTAGAAAGGGTTTTTTGAAAATAAGTACCTACTAATAATCTCGAACTCCGTCACTCGTTCGAAGTTACGCGATAAGTGCCTACCGCTGAATGTATCGACGACAGTACAAGCGCTCAGAAAAGTCTTTCATTTACATTACAATCCTTGGACAAACCCAAGCATTCGATTCCGCGCGACTGCGCACGGCGAGCAACGTTGTTTTCATCTCTTTTATAGCGTAGGTATTTTCGATTTTGTGATGTATCTGTTACGTAATAAGTATTAAGTAATCTATGATATTTAGTAATATCACAGATTACTGGGGATGATGGGATGAAGGATGGATGGCCCTTATTTCGTCTCTAATTCTAGTTATACATATACTCGATGCGCTATATGAATGGAATATTCGGCTCGACGGGGCGGGCACCGAACCGAGTTAGCACGAGTTCATAAACAAATTGCTTGAGTTGACTAACGAGTCCCACAACGGTTGGAGTAACTCGTGTTGATCGAGTTTAATGCTTACCTGCACGTTAACATCCTCCGTTACTATTTTCTGAGCATCTTCAAGTATTCTCATCCACCGATTATGATTCGCAGTTGGCAGAAAAGTGTTACATTTGATGTGATCAGGTAGTCGATAAGGCAATGGTACGTCAATTACTCTGGTGGGAGCTGCCACAATGGGCCCCATGTATTTACCTCCCTGCTTTGGCATGGTTGATTCAGCTTGTTGAACTTTACTAAAAAAAAAAAATTTTAATAAAGAGACCGTATTGACCTGCCCCCAACCCTAATTCAGGCTAAATTTACATTTAGCCACATCTAAACGGATCTCCTGGAATTTTCATATTCTTTTCAGTTTCCATCGGATCCCCTATCCCCTGCATCAAGAATAAATAATTACATTTTGTTCCCACCTGATACCCTGGTTCTTACAAGCCTATTTTTGGTAGGTACTGTGGTACAGTCAACGATAAAATCTTTGAATAGCTCTGAGTGATGACGCAAATTATGCATATTAATGAATATAAAGTACAGCGAACAAACCCAATAGCAAAGCGACGATTAACAAAAGAAATAGCAATCGATAAATGTCACAAATACGTTACTGACCAAGTTTTGTCTGGGAATATCAGTTAGTCACTGTTTAGAAAATTTTAAATATTACATAAGATTGATTTTTTGTTACTAGTGATGTGCAATAATATGTCAATATTAATTACCTTTTACAAAAAAAAATCATTGTCTGTGTTAAGTATAACATTTAATTAGAATTTTATTGTTCGATAAATGAATACTTAATTTTATAACTTCTTAATTAAATTTTTATTGAATTGATATTCAATTATTTTTTGTGAAATTACTCCACTAGTTTGTCATAATTATTAATACAAAGATTGAACACTCAGAAAAAATTCCTTCGATCCGGTCGGATTCGAACCGACGTCTTCTTGCATACCGTGCCAGACGCTATACCAACTAAGCCACGGAACGAACCAACGGACCTCACGAATTTCTCTATGTGCTTGCGTCGTGTCTTTGTACTTAGTCTTTCAACGACTTTTTAGTCGTAGCGCCATCTATGAGAAATCTATTACAGATTTATCACCCAGTTAATACCTTTACAGCTACCACTCCTGGCGAGAGATGTCGCTATTCACTGTGTTAATTAAATTTTTATTGAATTGATATTCAATTATTTTTTGTGAAATTACTCCACTAGTTTGTTATAATTATTAATACAATCATTGTATACAAGATCAGTTGGGATTTTAAATTAGTAGTGAATCATTTGTAGAGGATAAAATGAGAATAACCGTGTAATCAACGATTACTGATTATAGCCCTTACAAAAAAATAATGTACCACAAAATAATCCTCTGTATAGGTTGTGTGAGTATTCCAACGAAATATGAATTAATTGTGATATTCTTAACTGAGGTGTCTCTGCATTTAAGAGGTCACTTCTACCATTGTTGTAAGGTGAATAGCGTATTCTTTTTGTTTTGTTTCTATTCGTCGGGTCGATATAATTATACTTTTGAATGTTGCATAATTGAGCACAGATACGCTTATTTTATTAAGTGTTCAGTTTTTTTTTTTTCAATTGTTTGTGTCTGATCTCTGTTAGTGTGCCATATATAAAAAATAAAATTAAAAAAAATTAATATCAGCCAAAAAACTTTCGTTTTGTTTCGGGAATTTCCGCAGCTACAGTATCGTACCTAGTTTTAATTCAATTAAATTCAAACTAACAGTATTTCAGCGCTTTTGACCTGGGATGATTTGAACATTTTTTCTCGTAGTATCTAAAATAAATTGATTACATCTATACCTTATTTATTACGGTAATTTGCATCAAGTTTCTCTTTTAATCAACTGTTATCCCATGTCTCATTGGAATAAGCAAACTTTCTTATCGTCAATTTTCCCATTAACAATATTCCACTTTTACTGTACTTAACAATTTAAATTAGACAAATTAATAAAATAACTAGATGTTAAATCATAATACGGAAATTTTGATTCACATATCTTAATTTAGATAAATAAAAAATAATATTGTAAATTTGCTTGCTTGACGTAAAATTTTGTAATCCTTGACAGTATTCTGATGTAATTGTCACATTCAAAAAAGTTAAGAAGATGGAAGAAAAAAGGTACCGTCCCAATACGCTGATAGAACAAATTTAAATTCCGGCCTTCAAGCCTTATGAGGATGGAAAAAAAATCAAACTAACCGCTGGTAGAAGCACTGCAGAGGAGTTTGTTGGAGGTACCGGTCTTGCTAATGGCGTAGTCCGCCATATTTTTTTCTATTAGTTTTTACGAAACTATCATAACTAGTCATTTTTACATGGCATTGGCGAGTCTGAGCACAGATTACTTAAAAGTTACTACGTAACAGATACATCACGGTTGCCATGCCGGATTGCCACGCTGAGGTCCTAATCGATTCCCGGGCCATGAGAAATATTTGTATTTGCATTTTCTCATGAGTTTGGGTGTAATTTGTGGTTGTCTATGTGTGCGTCCATGGTACCCGGTTTCCCTAGTAGTAATGTTGAATGTGTGCGTAACTTGGTACTTGGTATAACGGACTAGTGTCCGCAACTCGACGCCGAGGCGCCTATAAGCTCTTCCAGGATTCTCAGCAGCCTCTTCGGTTTGCTGAAGACTTCGGGGAGCGACCTTGGTACTCCAACAACAAAGGTACAAGGTATAAGGTACCGGAGCACTCTAGTAGGTTGTGCGCGGCCGTTTCCTCCCCCTCCATGCACGCATAGAGGGCTGTCCGTGGTACCTAAATTGAAAAGGTGTTTATTGTATGGACCATGACCCGTTAGGGCGGCAGTCAGAGTGCGAAGCTCTTGTCTTTTAAGTTTGATTAATTTACGAGATAGACTGGCGTTGAGTGTTGGGAGTGCTTCCCTAGCCTGTCTACAGACCGTAAGGGTCGTCCATGCGTTATTATGTGACGATTTTGTACCTTTGTGTATAGTTGTTCTGAACCATTGGTAGGGGAGGGACACTATGGGTTCTGGTCCTACAGCGTCCGTCTCCGACCCTTTTCTGGCTAGTTCATCTGCTGCATCATTGCCACGTGAGCCGCTGTGTCCTTTAATTTATAAATACTTAACTTCTACTTCTTCTACTTAATCAATAAATACTTATACTATTAGTCAATTATGTTACTTAATCATTAAATCTAATGTTTGATATACTGAAGGTTTATTATACACATTGAAAATATGCATTTTGTTGTTACACCTCGTATTGGTTATATTCAATGAGTGATTATACTCCGTGCAACCATCTAATTAACTTTTGAATCCGAAGCTCCGTAATTATTGACATACAACAATAGACAAAAAAATGCAATGTTTAATGCTAACAATTTATTGCTTAATGCCAAGAAGACAAAATGTGTTAAATTTGAATTACCTAACGTAAAATCGACTAGTCCAAGCATAGAAATAAACGGAGAAAAGTTAGACCTTGTTAATAAAGCAGTCTTCTTGGGAGTGACCTTAGATAGTAAACTTCAGTGGTTTCCACATATATCGTCCCTGGCCAGCAGATTAAGCTCCGCTGCATACGCAGTCCGCAGAACACGTGAGCTTACCGATGTTAGTACTGCTAGACTAGTTTACTTTAGTTACTTCCATAGTATAATGTCCTACGGGATTCTCATGTGGGGTAAAGAGTATATTATAAGAAGAAGAGTATATTCAAACCATATTTGATTGCAAAAACGAGCGATTCGTTCTGTGTACCGTCTAGGCTCTCGGGTATCTCTCAGAGAAAAGTTTAAGGAGACTGGTATCATGACTGTGGCATCACAGTACATTTAGGGTAGACTGGAGGAAAAAGTAACACTTTTTACTCACGCTTCGATTATGGAACTGCTTTAACGTATAATTAAAATATTTCCTGTGTAATGTAAGGTAAATATATTTGGCTACAAATATTTGTTAGTGAGTATTCGATATTATGCTTTGCAAACGTAGATTTTAAATGTTTTGTGAGACGGAGGATTTGTTCCTAAAGCCCCCCTACCCCGGTTACAAAGTAACACCATTTGAAAAAAATAAAACGCAGCGAAAATATAGAAAAGTACGAGTGTCTTTATTATTAAAAGGAACCTCATATCAGTCTTGTTTTAACGAGATATAACACCAACTCTTTTTACGGCCAGCAATTTAAAATTTACCCAGAAAACTTGTATTAACATACCTAATCTAAACACAATTACCCTAAATGCAAAATTTTGTATTCGAAAATTAGTTTTTGGGTTGAATGAGATGTTGTTTGCGACAACTGCCCCCTCTGCTACTATTACCCCCAGAGATATGAAAGTGTATGTTACCATATCACAGATTACAACATTATAATGTTTGCAGACTATGTTCTAAGGAAAGGCTTGTATGTAAACCTGTGCTTTTTATTCTTTTCACTTCTTCTCTGGCTGCGGGGCAAATGAAGTTTTTAGTAGAAGATATTGTAACAGTGGGTCAATTGTAACGTCACAATTGCCTCCGGAATATATGTTACAACGGCACCAGTGGACGTATTAGAGAATATTCATTATCTTCAAAACTACTGTAAAGTACATACATACAGTAATATTACCAATCTCTGATCTTTTAGAAACCTAGTTATCATCTTACACGTGTAAATTCATCGTTAAAAATCCAAATAATTTTTGTTTTTAAAATCCAAATTATTTTGTTTTTAAAAACAAAATAATTTGTTTTTAAAAATCAACATATTCTTACTTTGAAGACGGAAATACAAAACGACCTATAAGTCGATTGCCCCACGCCCAAAACTTACATTAAAAGTATTTTAATTGAAAAGTCATATTACAAAATTGTAGATTACGTGCATTGACTTACAAATAAATGGACGACGGGTCTAATACAAAAACCACGAAAAAAATGTCCCAAGTCAACCTATTCGAAATTTAAATTGTAATGTCATCGCAGTATCGCGCTGTCAGTAGAACAAATGAAGACTAAAGCGGAGTTTGGCGCTCTGTATACGATTTTAGCGCCTTACAAGTGCGGACACTTTTTAGCGCGGACCCGAAGTCAATGATTACGTGTTAGATAAAGATGTATGGAAAGACAACATGAGTCTAGATTGCAATAGCATTTAAGTTTATTCGAAAATAACTATCCCTAGAGTTTCTTGCTCGTTCGTCTCAGGGAGATCAGCATAGTGAAAGAGCTGTAGCTTAAAAAATGACGTTTTCAAGTGTAAAAATTTCAAATGGAATGAGCTTGGAATCTATTCCTTTATTTTTTTCCATCCTATATGAAATAAATGATTGTTTGACTTTGACTTCGAAAATTACATTTCGTTACTTGCAAAGATACACTTTTGCATCAACTTCCATTTTGCAAATTTGTTTTTTTTAATTTAATATACTAACTGTAACAGATCTTAGAAGATAATACTAAATCCATTGACTTACAATTATATGGACGTCGGGTCCGCGTTAAAAAGTGTCCGAACTTATAGGGCGTTAAAATCGTATACAGAGCGTCATTCACGCTTTAGCCTTCGTTTGTTCGACTGACAGCGAAGCAAGCAAAATTAGACAGTACTGCGATGACATTACAATTTAAATTCAACGTTTTAGCTTTTCCATATTCCTTTACATGTCACTACGTTTAAATAGGTTGACTTGGGACATTTTTTTCGTGGTTTTTGTATTAGACCCGTCGTCCATTTATTTGTAAGTCAATGATTAAATCCAACAAACAAAAATTAAGTATGCTCAAGAGAAATCTAACTCTAACCAGTTATACATTGAGTTCATTTTATTTGCACCATCTCTCGGTAGATTTTTTTAATCTAATTTGGGTGCGTTCGTAAACCATTTAGAATTCACAATAACAAATATAGTTGAATCTACAAAATCTTAACGTCCCCGAAAGTTACGAAAATTGCCTTAAAAACAAAAGCTGCTTTATATATTACGCGAGAGGGTCAAAAGTTACGTAAAATGTAACCATTTGGCAACTCTGATACAGGTGCACGACAACGACTTCAATGTTGCAACTTTTGGCACTGTATGGTTTACCTAACTATAATTCTATCCGTGGGTAGCCAAGAAATAAAACATTCATAGTACAGGGTATATGAATTTACTTACAAAAAAAAGAATATTCATTCGAATAGAATATTTACTAATCCACTGCTGAACATAGGCCTCCCCCAAAGATTTCCAGACTAGACATCAATATTGAGACAGTTGAGGCATCTGTAAAGGTACCGGCTATAGGGAGGTTTTTCAAAAATTTCTCACTAGATGTCACCCAAATTCAAAGCATTGTACCGGCAACACCTAGTTTCACTTCAAAAATCTTTGTAGTGTATGTTTATTATTTAACGTAGTCTGTGTAGAATCGAATTTTGTTATTGCTTTGATCTATTCGCTTTAATGTATAATTATGTTATATACTAAATACATTATACTACATTGAAACCTCTTTACAATCACAATTTACTCCTACAGCTGTAATTATATTCACACTAGCTCATGCACTTACATATAAAATAGATTATTTTAGGTGCACTATTTACACTTTACTAAGTATATTATTATTCTTAATGTATAACTTTATGCATAGTCGTTATATTTTTGGTTTCAAATAACTTAATCCGTCTCGTTGGTCCTGACTGAAACCCAGCGTCTCAGAAAACTTTGGCATATTCTGAGTCAGCGTCGTTTCACTGCTATGACAATCAAGTTATGTTTTTTTTCTTTTGTGCTTAATCTGTATTTGTATTATATCCGTGAACAGTGTTTATATATCTATCAGTACAAAGATCTGTAATAAAAACACATAGAAGAATTTCGACAGCTCGATAACTTGTGCTGTGGCTCAGTTTAAAAGAGCAATGCTACGGTGCAGCATAGTCGTGGGTTCAAGTCTCACTCTTGGAGTTATTTTACAAAAACTCGCAATAATACAATATTGCAACAGATCGACTCATCCGAAGAACAAAGTCCGATGTGATTATACAGCGAAAAGTAGATAAATACATAATTTCGTTATTCAAACTAAGGCCTGTGTAAATGTGTTTTGAGAATTTTTATATCTTATTTCGTTTCGGAAATATAAAATCTAACATCGGTCGATCTGACATCCACAGCGGAGAAGAACTAACGAAATGTGTTATATCCTGAGAACAAGTAGTCTTGATAGATCTTTGTTCTACGGATGAGTAGAAATACAAGGTCTATAAAACTCAACTTATAACAAATATTCTACAAAACTGAGATATAATATCACAACCATTGATATTTATTATGCTTAGTTAGTTTAATTATTAAACTTCCATACAGTAAGTACAGTCAGCATGACAATGATCTAAGTAGTCAAAAACTACCCAAAGGCTTGTCTAGCAGAAGCCACAATCACATTTAATCTAAGTAAATATTGAGAAAAGTGCAAGTATTTTCAAATATAATTTATTTTGAAGAATTATAATACTCCTTGTATTTATTAAATTTTACATGGAGCCAAAAGTGCAGATTGATTTCATTTCAAGACGCTGAAAAGCGTCGATGACCTTGAGCGATCGATGTTTTATGCCACGCCTACTTTACGATTATGAAATTAATTAATTAGATAGGTAGGTGCAGTGCGGGCGACATAGGTCCATCCAGCAATGCGTCTCAGCTATCACAGCCGACCTTGGTATGCGTAAAAGAGAAGAAACTACCAACAGTTTGCGCGCGTCTCAAAAAAGTAGGTTAAAAATGGAAAAATAAAATAACCACCGTTTTCATTATTCGATAATACCTTATTCTTCAAAATTTTATCAATTTTACTTGGTTTTATATTACGGATATAAGTGCGTTGAAAGCGTAGATACGAGGTAACTATGATTTTTTTTTAATTTAGAAAATATTGTAAAATCGTGCTTTGGAAACAACAACATTTTAGATAATATGATGAAGAATAATACACATTTTTTCCTCTGCCAGTATTTTTTTTAAACAGAACTTGCTTAAAACTCTTTAAAGTAAAGCGTAATTCGGTATTCAACGCCTTAATAAATATCCAACTTATTTAGCTGACAACATTTTAAAAGCATGGTCGTACATTTATTCGGGTAGATATTAACATATCAAGTTCTTAGGTTTTCGCGATTGTTCAACTGAAACTATTTTTTTAATCAACTTCAAAAAAAGAAGGATTTTTTGAACAGTGCTCGTTCAGATGTTATTTTTGATGCTGACTGTACATTAACTGTAGAACTACAAGGTATGCAAAAACTTAACAAAATCATCCCACAAACAATAGCCTTTGTCATCAATTTTACAGTTATGTAACTCCAATGTGACAAACTGAGGTGGATTCCATAAACTCAACTCAATACCGGATCTTAACTGTTTAGTAGATTGATATACGTAACTTATTTTTAATAAATCTTTCTTCTTCACCTCATCGAACCATTTTTGAAATACAATTTTACCACTAACTGGTGCCAATTCATATTGTTCCGGTAAAAAATATGGTTTGAAACTCATACTGTTAATCAAAGTGTAAATATTAGCATCGTGGCCCATTAATAAGGTAACTTTAGTTGAATTATCGTTGAGAAATATGTTCCTAAAGTAATTTAATAATGGTAACGATAAATCTTTTGCAATTAAAGTTGTGTTAAAGATCACATTGTGATATTTGCGACTTAGATTTATTATGTCTTGCCATTTTGACTCTGTCATTTGACCCCACGCTACATTGTTAAAAGGAAAACCTTCATAGTTTTCCATAATAAAAGCGTCTATAGCTGAATTACAAATTTTTAGCGGTCCCTTTATATTAGGCTTGAATCCTACTTGAACGTCAATTATTTTGTTCAAGTCTGTGATTAAATTACATTCATTGTCTATTAAACAAAGTTGAGATAGTTTATAATCTAAAATATGTGACATATCTTCAAATGATTTGTTCAAATTTAATGGTCTTAATTGTTCATACATTTGTTCTAAGGCAAGTTTCTGAAAACTTAAAGATGAGTTATGTATTGCTACATTGAATACAGGATCAATACCATTGTGATCTTTTTGGTGTATTGTTATGTTACATCCAGAAAAGGCTTTATTGACAAAAGCTTTTGCTGACTCTATGGTTCTTTGTTTAACATTTGCATAGATAAAAATTTCTTCTTCTTTCGGACAATAATCTGGCAACAGGTTTTCTTTATTCAGCAACTCGGAAAAATACTTTCCCATATAACCTTCTAGTAAAATTCCTTTTTCTGTTAAATAACCAGGTTTTTTATTCCAGTCTGGCCACTTTTTTGGTGTCATTTGATCTAGATCTTTGGCTAAAGGTGTTCTGACACCATGTCGACTTAATATAAACACTTGTTTTAATGTAATATTATTATAGTCACTGGTTGACCCATATACAAACACGTAGACTGAAATGCCTATATAAGTTAATATAAAACCTATGTTGAATATGGTTTTCACTGTACTGTACACTACACTCATATTTTTTTAGCAAAATCACTATATAAAAATAACTTGTTTCAAAGACTGAACAAATACGTGCTTTCGTCACAGTGTAAAAAAAATAGTGTTTGTTTGGCACAGTCCATTTCGACATACAGTCACGTGGTTGTATGATAGGTATATAAGCATAAATAATTACTCAATCTTAATAAATTATGAAAGTAAGTGGTATAAGTATAAGCATACATAACCTAAAAGTGTACTAGTTAAAAGACTTTATCAAAAGAATTCAGCTCATTATTATTCTGACTAGATTTATAGATTAGGATCACTTTATTGTTATTGGAAATTAATATTTTAAGCCACGTTTTCTAAATTTGAAATGTAAACATAAGAACCACCAAGGACGCATTTCAAAGATGTCAATTTGACAACCAAAGATGTGTTTACAACGAACGTTAAATTATGAATGCTGTAATTTTAATTACAAACTCACAGGACATTGGCGAAATCGCCATTTTTTTGTATAATTTTTATAATAATACTAAACTACCGTACATAGTTATTTTTACTTGACATTGGCAAAATCATTGATTATTTCGATGGGGCCATAATATTTAAAAGAAGAAGATCATAATAATTAATTAGCACATCGACGTAATTATTTAAAATGATAGTAAAACATCATAATATTAACTAAAAACCAATATTATTATTAATTCCCAGTTTAAGACGGATTGATTCTACTATTAATAAGGAAAATGATAAAATGTTTCCAGTTCTTGGTATGAACTAAGTATTTAGAATATTTTATTAACACTTCTAAGAAATTAAGATATTTAATTAAAACTTCTATCATAGAAAACCTAATAAAAAAATTAAAGCACGCGGTTAAAAACTGCGTACGGTCTTTTCTTGCAAACTAGATTCGTGAACACACCTTATTTAAAGCCGTGTTTGCATGAATAAACGGAGCGGAAGCGAATAGCGGACGGAACGAAAAAAAATGTAATGATGATCTATCTATTGCTATCTAAAATAACGTTCTAATGTGCTATTAAAATATAATCATTATTTTTTTTTATGTCTTGTAAGAAATAATAAAAGTAAGTATTACAACTTGTTTCTTAAAGGATTTAAATTTCACCAATGACTACCTCGGTGGCATAGCGGTTTGCACTGTGTTCAAACCGTTATTCCACCGAGGCTAGGCGAGGATGCAACCGTCCAAATTGATTTTGTACATCTTGTACAGAATCAATTTGGAAAATGAACCTTTTTGAAACTGGTTCTGCAGCTTGATTTTGATTACTTCTCCCGATCGGAAACTGTGTCTTTTCCGAATTGAGGCGCGTAGTTGCGATTCACAACTGGCCGATTGGAAACTTTTGACATTTCTAATCGGAACAGTAGTTGATTTAACTCACAAATTCGAAAGATATAGTAAGAATCAGGTTAATCGTCTCGCTCAGAAATCCATTTGATTTCGGGACTACCCAATCGGGTCGATTCTGATTTGAATCCAAACCAGCGTCCTGATTTTTCTGAGTAGTGCCTATGAATGTAGATGCAAGTGTACTTATTGGAATCATACAGGATATATAACTCTAGTATGCGATGGAATTGCACTATTTATTTCTTCTTCCACCTACCACCCTTAATGGCGTGGGTACATTTACGTGGCGAAGGCTATGGAGTGGAATTTACTACCTGCAGCTTATTCCCTGAACGTTATAACTAAGGCCCTTTCCAAAGCGAGAGTGAACAGGCATGCACACCTAAATAAGGTTTGCATGCTCCATTATCGGCCTCATCGTCACTTTCCATCAGGTTAGATTGAGGTCATATGCGCACGTATATTTTTACATATAAAAAAAAAATTTGGAGTGATCGTCTAGAAAAAAAACTAGATTTTTTATACCCCTGTGGCGGCTTTAGACGTCGCCTATTATTATAGGCTCACTGTGGGATTCTCTTTGGACGAGAGTCGCCATAGAGAGTGTTACACTTGCCAAAGATTTTAGATAGTGTTTTAGTTTGGTTGATTGTCACTTAAGTCAGAGCTATCAAATTGTTCGGAATTGTTTGGTACAATTATGAAATATTACAATCTATGAAGTTCACGAGGCCGTTTCATTACTCGAATGACAAATTCCCCAAATCCTTATAGTTTACTTTTTCAAGTAGGAGAATCAAATAGGTACGTTAAAACATTATACGATTTAAAAGGGCTTATGCAGAATGTATCAAATCCTCATCATCATCCACAGCCTGATTTCACCCACTGCTGGGTATAGGCCTCCCGCAGTTTGAGCTATCCATCACGGTCCTGTTCTAGCCGCATCCATTGACGACCCGCGATGCGTACTATGTCGTCGACCCACCTTGCGACAGGGCAAAAGAAGCTGATTGACTGATTGGCGAATCAGTCGATGTCTTGCTCCACATGTGTCCCGTCCTACGCCATATATCAAAAAGGCTAGCAAATTAATTTATACGAATCGCGCTATTTTGATCGTAATGTTTTCATACTAGGAAACCAAATTCCTGCTAATTTTTTGCTTCATGTTTTTGTCATCACGATCAGTAGGGCTAGCACGACAGGGCGCGACTAGCGAGAGAGCGACGTAAAGCGTGAGATCTCTGTGCGAGAATAGGATTATCTCGCGCGTTATGTCGCTCTCGCGGAAGTCGCGCCCTGTGGTGCTAGCCCAACAGCAAAAGTTATGTCCAATATAATGCGAAATTAAACCTTAAATGGAGGCCACAAAAGCAAAATTTTTCATTTGATTAAGACGTCTTATAGTTTGTTTGTAATAAGGAAACAAAAAACAAACAATAGATTACATTTTTGCAAATTTCGTTATTGACTTGTGAATAATGAATGGAATATAATTATATTTTCCCATACAATTAATTGGAATTGCTCATTCCCTTGAAAATCTTTCCTATATCGTTTATATTATAATAAATTATTATATAATAAATAATAATGAGAACTTAATAAAAATTGTAAGCAAAAAGAATATTTATAAAGCTATTTATAAAATTATAATACTTGTCATCAAACAGGTAAAGCATAGGTAGGCAACATCACATACGTTCATCGAACATACTACATACATTGCTCTGATGCCAAAGTTAAGGCACTTTGATTTTGAAATTGAAATTTGTAGTACCGTCGTTGTTAAAAGAAGAAGAAACGTTATTTCAGCATTGGTCCGGCTGGGGATCAAACCCAGGACCTCAGAGATGGCAAGACCATGAAAGCCGATATACAAGCCACTCGACCACGAAGGTAGTCAAACAGATTCAAATAAAAAGAAGTCTACAATCACAGTAATTATTTAATTACTGCGTTATAAATGCAAAACTGTTTTGAGCCTCATTATACATTTTTGTATGACATCCTGACCTGAATCAATCTGTACAATAACAAGTCCAGACCAGTCTGACCATCAATCTGACCAACGGGAAATACTGTTATTTTAGGTCTCGCTCTGGTGAAAAGTAATTTAAGGAAATATATTGCAAAATAAATTGACATACTCTACAATTTCCCGAAATGCAACCGTGCGAGGTCGCAAATAATTTATCAAATTAATCTCAGAATAAAATCTGTACATTTATAATTAACTTTAAACTGCCTCCGTGGCCGAAAGGTTACCATGCCGGACTGCCACACAGAGGTCCCAGCTTCGATTCCCGGGCCGGGAGAAATATTTGTATGGCCTACTTTTATTTCTCTTGTGAGTTTGGGTGTAATTTGTGGTTGTCTATGTGTGTGTCCATAGCACCCGCGACACAGGGTTTCCCTAGTTGAAAAAAATGTTGATTGTTGAAAAAAAAAAAAAAAAAACTTCTGATTTAAACACCTTTAGGAATAAGGAACAAATTTAATACTTATGAAATTTAAAAGATGTTTTAGTGAACGGGCTATAGAGCTTCTAGAAAATGTTCAAAAGGACAGTAGCCTCTATTATCAATGGTACAATTTTGCATTTCCAAAATAACAATACGTGGTGGATTCTCCTTTGTAATTCTGGCGCCACTTCTTATCTGATCCGATGTTAAGTAAACGAATTTTATTTTCAAAAAATAACGTTCACTTTGTTCGTCTAGCCACTTTTCAAAAACAATCTTTCCACCTATTGGTGATTTTTCATTTTGATTATCTAAATCATAAGGATTGATAGCCATAGATGCCAGAATAGTGTTTATATTAGAATCATGGCCAACTAATAATGTAAATTTATGCTTCTCATCTAAGAATTCCTGTTTTATATAGTTTAGCAATGGTTTTGCAACGTGTCTGGCAAATTGTGTATAATTGAAGCGTACGTTTTGGTTTTCTTGTACAACTTTCCCTAGAATTTTCCAGTCATTTTGGTGCATTTCACCCCAACCGATTTTGTTCAATTCTACTCCATCATAATATGCCATTAGAAATCCATCAACTACTTCACTTGCCATTTTTAAAGCGCCAACAATTACCGGTTCTTTTTCATATTTTAAACTTACAACGCTCGGCAATTTTGTTAAATCACATTTGCCTTCATCTTTACACAAATTGGAGCTTTTAAAATCCAAAATAGTGTTCAATCTAACATAAGCATCTTCAAGTTTTATTGAATTAAGTCGTTCTTTCATTTCTTTAAGAATATCTACGAAATTTACGAAATTTTCGGAACTATTTAGTAGAGGCTTGTGAAAAAATGGTTGAAACATAGGATCCATGGTAACATTTCCCATGAAATTTATAGTTATATTACACTGTTTAAAAGCACTTCTAATGAAATGCTCAGCTGTTTTTCTGGTTCTTTGAGGAGCATTTGCATAAACGTGGATTGATGTATCATTTGGACATTCAGTTGTTAGTAGCTTTTCTTTTAACAACCAATCAGAGAAATATTCTCCTAAGTACTCTTCCAATAAACACCCTTTGGTAGTCAAAAATCCCAGTTCTGTATTCCATTTGGTCCATTCCTTTTGTGTATACTGTGACAAATTTCTCAGAGGTGATCTTATGTTATGTCTTCCGACGATTACCACTTGTTTTAATTGATCCCCGGTAACACTATACAACATTAGAAGTATTAAATATATAAACTTGAATGCCATTCTTGACAGTTAAATTTTTTGATTCAATATTTTTCGTATTTATTTAGGATACATTTTGCAAAGTCAATTCTCCATTGTTCGTTATGCGTAAATAACAGAGAATAATTATTTTCGTTCGTTTCGTTCACTGATCGCACCTGAAAGTAATGTTTTAAAAATGAATTTAGAAAAATTTTATCATAAAAAAAAACAAAATTTCCCGCTACCATGCTACCACCCGAACATTAAAAACTTACTGGTTTTTATTAAATGCCATTTTTGTTTTTGTAATGTCAAACGAAAATTCGTTTTTCAATAATCATTAATCCAGAAATATGTTCTCCATTATTCGTTAATGTTTAGCTTCATTTTCGACTAACAGAATTCCATTTATGTTTTTTTCTTTTTGGTTTCTAAAAAAATACATATCAATTAGGAAAGACCTAGACGCACGGCAGTGTGTCAGGCAACGTTCAGAAAACAAAAGCTGAAAATGTATGCGGTTGAAAGTAATCTCCTTTGACCCCTTTTTGAACTCTTTTGAATCTCTTTTTGGCACTACCGCGATAAGTTGTTTGTTCTTTTTTAAATTAGTCAATTTTTGTTTACGTTTCGCTTTGCATAGACAAAATGAATAAGTAGTCCACTAGCGAACTGCGTTATGTGCGTGGATAAAAAAGCTATAAACTAAAAAACAATTATTGTTCCGAAAACGGGAATTTAAATGGTACTTTTTTAATTATCTGAAAATTGTGATAAAAAAGAGACGAAGAAACGAAATCACAGTATTAAACTTTTTAATTTATTTCCATAAAAAATTAAACAGAAAGTTTTGCAACAGTAATAACAAAATAACTAGTTTTGTAATTGTTCAGAATGAACGTAGCTAGTTTTGCAACAACACAATGCTAACAGGGCTAGTTTTGTTACAATAATAGTAAAAAATACAACTTGAATCTAGTTTTAATTTTCCTCTAAACTCTTATATCCACTTCGTCAACCATCAATGTATCTGTCATTTCTTCTTCTTCGGTTACATCCATTGCCTTACAATTATATGGACGTCGGGTCCGCGCTAAAAAGTGTCCGCACTTTTAAGGCGCTAAAATCGTATACAGAGCGCGACACTCCGCTTTAGTCTTCATTTGTTCTACTGACAGCGCGATACTGCGATTCAATTTCAATTTCGAATAGGTTGACTTGGGACATTTTTTTCGTGGTTTTTGTATTAGACCCGTCGTCCATTTATTTGTAAGTCAATGGTTACATCTGATTGTTTTTGCCCTTTAATATAAGTATACAGTTCAAGAATTTCGTATGTAAACCAATCTTCTCCGAAATATTTGACGATCAAATTTTTGATAAATGAACACGAGGGACCTCTCGGATGACAAAAAAATAAATACCAAACAAAATGTCACATAGGGCTGTTTGCAAGTGGACTACTCAATCGCGTACGAAAAAAGTAAAATGTTTAAAAATGAGCAACAATTTTTTATACACTTACGTCCTTTTATAACTAACATAATAAGTGCGTTTCCTGTTTACACATTTTTAGAATAAGAATATAAAATTCATATTGAAAAAGTAGCCTTAGCCGTCTTTTACTTCATGCTTAGGTAAATTACTTTTCAGCCGCCTCTCGTAGCATAATGCAGGTAACAGAAGCATTTCCCGAGACTCGTGAGAATTTAGCGGAAGACATTCTGTTCTGATGCAAAAGAGCTGGGGGCCTACCACCACCTCTTAAAACAATACTACTTTAACCTTACATTGACTTTTTGTACTATAACACGCTTTAAGTAAGCTTATTTGTAATGTTAAAATAATGCTGTTTTATTGGCAGCTTTGTGACTATTCATTCACTTCGTTCGTACTATGACGGGACTTTAACATTAACCCTTCAGCCAACGGAATTTCAACTGTCAATTAATGACGGTTCATATTTCACACCCCGCGCAAATTTGTACAGAAATCCCATGAAAATGCCAAAAATTATGTTGCCGGTATTTGAGCTTGATAGCAATAAAACTACTACGAATTTAACAAAACCAATTATGTAAATAGCTTTATCATTCCTTAAATAACACAAAATATAGTAGTTATTACATAAAATATTGCATTTACCTTGATAAAATAAAGATTTCACAACGCACTGTTACCACAATGTTACTTCTCGCGAAGTTTTACCACAGATTCGAACAGCTTTTTCTCCGTATTTTTTAAATGAACGAATGTTTTTTGGCTATGCAATGAACGAAACAAGGAACAGAATATACCTCATCCTTATCCCGCCCTCCCCTTTCCTGCTCCGAAGCACGAGTGCTGGTCGCCGTACCCTTTCACGACTTGCCGTAGGTATTCCAACGCGAACTAAAAAGTTTGGTGGCACCACACTCGACAAATGGACCTCCCTTTCAGTGGCTGCAGGCATGCAGGGTTGTGGTGGCTAGGGCAGTTTGTATCAACACCGCACTGGGTTCCTTCTCGTTTGGATTCCACTTTCCATTTAACATCAAGTAGAGAGATGGCATCTGCCTGTCACGTATAAAAGAAAGAAAAGAATTTGTAGGGAGCCAAGACGCACGTTACGGCAAAGAACCCCGAGCAAGTACCGTGCACAGGGTCAAGAACACGTCAAGTTTGACACTTGAGACCTTAATTTAACTCTATGCCGCTTACGACAAGAACGGTACAAAGTACAAAATGTCAAGCTTGATGTGCTCTTGATTGTACGCCTCCTTATATTAGGTTCGAATGCCGAGAGGCACGAAGAACCATGGAGAACGAACCACATATATCTTCTTTGGCCAGCAGATTAAGCTCTGCTGCATACGCAGTCCGTAGAATACGTGAGCTTACCGATGTTGCTACTGCTAGACTAGTTTACTTTAGTTCCTTCCATAGTATAATATCCTACGGGATTCTCATGTGGGGTAAAGCGGCAGTTATACAAACCATATTTGTGTTGCAAAAACGAGCGATTCGTTCTGTGTACCGTTTTCTTTCTCCTTCTCGGGTTTCTCTCGGAGAAAAGTTTAAGGAGTTAGTTATCAAAACTTTTATACCATGATATACCAGTATCAAAGTTTTGATACCAGTGTATCATGACTGTGGCATCATAGTACATTTATTCAAATATTTTGTCTGCCCGTAAAAACATGCATAATTTCGTTAAGAATCCGTAAATCCAAAACCTTAGAACTAAGTCCAAACTCATGGTACCACGATTTCGTTTGACTAAAGTATACGGTTCTTTTAGTGCGAATTAGGTACGTTTTTACAATAAGATTCTGGAGCATATACTGTATTAAGATAACCATTTCTTAAGTTTAAAACTTACATTTTATGTATTTTAATTGAAAAATTATATTACAAAATTGTAATATAATTGAGTTATAACATGGTCGAGTTGCGGATACCAGCTAGAGGTGGGTGATAAATAACGTCACGATGAAAAAATCACGATGATAATCCGCCAAACAGTATCACCGTGACTCGTTCCGAAGGAACGACGTTCCAAAATCACATAGGTGTTCCTTCGTTCCAATAGCTTTCCTTGTCACTCACATCACGACATACGTAATTGATACAATGCGCGATCTCCGTTCCGTGGTGACTGAGCGCGCCACTCGTTGTAGTTCTCTTCAAATCGGGCCATTTCGGCGATGGGAGTGAATGAAATAGGATGACTTTCTTTGCTCACTCACAAGGGTCGTAGGTGCTTATTACTACTAGAAAGGGCGGACGAAAAAAATCTGCAGCAGTTACTATAAACCTATTTATGAACAAAGTAAAATATTTTTGTATATTTGTAGTATTATAGGAAGAGTTGGTATTTTATATTTATGTATAATCTACTTTGTGTATTAGTAGAATATAAATAATATATATATTAATATACATAGTAGAATATAAAAAATAGTAGAAATATAATTACATTACACTTTATTGCTATTTTTAACAATCCAAAGATTCGCATTAAATAAGTAACAAACAAAATTACATTAAATACAAAATCAACTTTTTGAATGGAATTGGAACTTATTATAAAGGGAGTAAAAACTTATATCATTGTATAAAAAACGGCTATAAGTATTAGAAAGTAGCCGCTGACTAAAACTGTATATCGTGATGTAAGTTATAGGCGTGACAAGGTCACGGAAGTAACAGTCATGACAAAATCACGATGATTTATCACTGTGATTTTTTTGGAACCGGAACGACAGTCACGATACGAATCACGAGGCGATAGAAATGTAACGCTATTCCCCATGTCTAATACCAGCCCGTTGCACCAAGTACCAAGTATTACAAAATTGTAGACTACGTGTTAGATAAAGATGTATGGAATTTAAGTTTATTTGAAAACAGCAATGCCTAAAGTGTCTTGCTCGTTCTTCTCAGGGAAGTCGGCAAAGTGAACGAGTAGCTTAAAAAAATGACGTTTTCAAGTGTAAAAATTTTACCTTTGGAATAAATGATTATTAGACTTTCACAATCGTAAGGTGGTGGGTTTATGTGCTCAATTCCAAAAAAACTGAGGTAAAAAATGTCAATTAAAAATAATTCGTCACGTATTCTTTTATATGGACATTCTTTGCTTAGGTATAATTTAATAAAACAATTTAAACTAAATTAAAGGTGGAATTCTGTAACAAATATAAAACTTGTGGTTTTACTAAAGTATTTAGGTAGGAACATTCAACAAAACATTTTCTACAATTTTCATAAACTGTGCAAATGTACAGTGGCCTTGTTCATTAACTATAGCATCTTGTAACTCCAAATTAGTTTCACGTACTGGATTATCCTCTGATATTCTGGCCCCATTTCTAATCTGTTCAGTCGATAAATAAACATATTTAATTTTCAAGTAGTAATCCACACCATTGTACCACTTTTCGAATATAACTTTACCCCCTATAGGAGACATTTCAGGCTGATCTTCTAAATTATAAGGTTTGACGCCTAAAGATGCCAAAATTGACATTATATTCGAATCGTCACCAACCAGAACGCTGACATTAATTTGGCTCACCTTGAATATATAATCAATGTACCCTAATAAAGGTTTTGCCATATGTTTGGCGACTTCAGGACAACCGAAACGCAGTTTTTGGTCCGCTTTTGTCATTTCCATTAGTACTGGCCAGTCTTCTGGCTGTATTTGTCCCCATCCAATCTTCGACATTGACACTCCGTCATAATAGGCCATTAGAAGTCCATCCACAACTTCGTAGCCAACTTTGAAGGGTCCAAAAATAGTTGGCTCTTGTCCGACATTCACGCTAATATTATTCTCTCCTGTCGTTAAATCACATATATTATTAAGTATGCACAAATCCGAGTTCTCAATATCCAGTATCGAATTTAATTTGGTGTAAACGTCTGTAAGATTAAACTCGTTTAATTTATCTTGCATTACTTCAAGTGCCGTAGTTTGAAAATCCTGTGTATCATTTAGTACGATTGTTACAAAAAGTGGAATATCATCATTAGATAGCAAGTGAATTGTTATATTACACTTTTTAAAAGCAGTTCTAGCGAAGTGTTTAGCTGATTTTCTAGTTCTATGCTCAGAGTTTGCAAATATATGAACTGCATTATCGTTTGGACATTCATTCGTAAGCAAGTTTTCTTTTGTCCAATAATCAGAAAAGTATTCACCCAAATACTCTTCTAACAAAGCCCCTTTAGTGGTTAGGGCACCAGGTACTTCAGCCCATTTGAGCCATTCTTTTGAACTATAAACATCCAAATTCACTAAAGGCGTTCTTACATTATGCCTACCTAACACTATCACTTGTTTCAACTGGTCATCTGCTAGACAATGTACAAATACTATAATTAAGAAAAAAATCTTTGACTGCATTTTTTTTCACGATAACTACTTTAACAAATGTTTCTTTAACGATAATAACGATATGCTACGGGACCAGCGCTTGACTAAATGTTAAAGAAATAAAGAAATTTATCGCGTTATTTATATTTTATGTAATTTTAATCTTGATAAATTAATACAAATACGGCATATTTAGCGAAGCACAGTTTTAGGTTTTCTAAAATTGTGCAGTATTCTTTTCAGAATACTGGACGGTTATATTATTTTTTTTATTTTAGATTTAGTTTCAATAGTCTAGTTTCTAATACAGGATTTTCAAGTAGTTTTAGAGCTTTACAAGCTCCTTGTGAAAGAATTCGTCCAGGGAAGTACTGCCACCTTACCTATTTCTGCCGCCAGTAATGTTAGCATTACTGCGTTCCAGTTTTGAAGGGCAAGGGTGCTGGTGAAATTACAGGCACATGGGACTTGTCAACTTATGTCTCAAGGTGATGGGCGCAGTGGCAGTGCCCCTCAGATCTTTGCGATTTAAAGCTCTGAGTGGCACTGCAGCTGTTGTGGAGAAGCGTGTAGCTTACCATCAGGCGCATGACTTATTCGTCCCGCCACTTGATATTATAAAAACCAAGTGCTTCACAACGTCATGAAAGTATCCATTTGTCTTCTCAAACTAACCGCGTAAAGTTGCGCATGCGACTGCTTATGTTCGGCGCAAGGGTAAGACAACTGGAAGGTTAAGGATTCATTTTATTAATTTAAAATTTGCATCAAACTTTTTTAATTTGGATTTTTAATTTTTTACTTTTTTAACTTTTTAAAGGCTTTGGAAATATGATGTTAAAAGATGCTAATTTATTTGTTATATAACATATTTTCATTTTTATTCTACTAAATGTGCTGGTGTGTGTACTATTTGTCTAATAAAAAAATGTTCAAGTACAAAACAATGAATATCGTAAATTTGGCTATAATTTTTGTGGTTACTTTCATGTCGTGAGTTAATGATTTAGAAATAAATATTTTATGGACTAGCTGGTAGTAAGTAACTTAATATAACTTAACCTAAACATGTTTCCCTTATGATAGTGGCACTCATGGAAGGAAAAAAACAATGGAAGTGCCTGAACTGACTCCGTGGCCGAACGGTTAACAACTGCCACGCAAAGGTCCCATGTTCGATTCCCGTACCCGGAGAAATATTTGTATGGCCTATATTTATTTCTTTCGTGAGTTTGGGTGTCATTTGTGGTGTTATAAGTGTGTGTCCATGGCACCCGCGACACATGGTTTCCCTAGTGCAGTACTATGTTGAGTGTGTGCGTTATTATTATTATTAAGCCTTGATTACGATCAAAACCGATGTCGCCAAAACTCACACATTCTTAATTTGAACTACACTATAAAGACTTGATGTTGATTGGTCCTAGTTTCAAATTTAAAAAGATATAACAAATTCTGGATTGTTGTTTGTTGATATAGTTTAAACTTTGTCGTGTTGGCATATGGTTGAAAGTTCAATATCATCACTACCTAATATTGCAAGTTACGACGTTTTGACATTATTATTTAAATTTCAATCAATGTGCAGTTAATTAGCAGTTAATTACTGAACGACGACGAATTGGGATTATTAGTTTAGTTCTCCAAAGAAGTGATCATTTCTTGTAACAATAAAAAATGTATCAACGAACAGAAAATTGAACATTTATTAAAATAAGGCTTTGCGATGATATAAAATAACACCACGGATAATATTTTTGGTGGGGCTATCATTTATGCACTCCAAAACGGTACAATACGGCATTTTTAAAGGATTTTAGAGACTGCACGAGAGAATGACACAACCAGACCATACAAAGCGAAAGTGGCGAGCTCAGACAGGTCTGTCGAGACCTATAGTTGATGTTCAAGTGCACATGACGTAAACAGACAACCTGACCGGACATTTGCTAAGTGATGACAATAGACTACTCAGCAGTGCAATGACCGTTCTGAACTAGGCTGCTGAGTAGAGTAGTTAACTTTATGTATACATTTAAAAATAATATTGTTTATAGTCACACACACTTAAATACCGTTTTGTATAAATAGCTTAAGTTTTGTAAATAAAACTCTCTTTGAATTCAGACATCAACGCTGTCTTATTGACAACGGAGCACTCCTGACTACAGCATCCTCTCACTGCGGCGAAGACACCTTTAGCCGTTAGCTTATCTGATCAGTCTTGTGAGTCTGTGAGACTGGCAGTGAGAAAACCAATTCCTAAAGCACCTTTATCCTCCCCCCTTTCCGTCTGTTGCCTTAGGTCGCACGGTGACAGGCTTCCCCTACTATTTATATAATTATATATTCCGTAGCGTATGGTTAGGGCTAGGCTGTTAGGTAGGCAACTAGGGTTGTTAGTGATAGTACAGCTTTCCCTGACCACTCATATATAGCCACCTAGCTACAGCTAGGTAGTTGACTGTATATTTTGTTGGCGCCTCTCACGTTTCACCGCCACATGCGTCAGACGCTAACTAACCACTTCTATTGTTCTGTGGTGATACTTCACATGGCTATTTGTACTTGCGTATTTGATATATTTAGCAATTTTATCTATTCGACAAATACATCAATCACCAAAATTCGCGTTACCATGCGCTGGTTGGTTTCTTGACGCACATGAACAGTGATATTATACTTACTATATTGTAAACAATATGCTCACTGCACATCAAAGGAGTGAAATAGGCAAATAAGCAAGCAAGTCGTTCGCACTATGGTCCTATTGGTTATATTCATTACGCGATTAACACACTGCACCGCGCCCCGCGATGTAGCGCGGAGCTGCGTTTTTTAACGTTGTACTGAAGTACCTCAGTTTGTATGGAGAACACGCGCCGTCGAACACACTGACAACGCTTCTCCGCGGGAGCGCGACACACGCGGTTTTACCGCGGCCCGGTACCGCACGGTATGGCACGCCGTTCCGCACTACTGCCCAGATTTTTAATCAATTTGTGTCTATTCCAGTAATTGTCGTTCGGATTTTCCCTAACAAATAATCAAAGAATACAGTTGACATACGTGTGTAGTTGAAAAATTAATCTTCATATTTTCTTAAATCTTTGTAATGAAGTTGAATGTTATCTTCGGTGTATTTTTATTTGAGTAAACAAAATCGACATAGACAGTATAACTGCAGCGTCCTGAATAAGTTAATAATACAGAATTATTAACCAGTCTTGTCAAAGAAGGATCTCAGCTAGTGTACAATCATTACGGGGCGATCAACTACGAAGCGAGTACTTTAAGTGACGCGGGGCCGCTAGACCGCTGCTCCCACGCAGATTAAACCGCGCGTTAACGCAGGTCTGCGTCCCCGCCACCGCGCGCGTGATTCCGTGTCCCGCGCATCGTCGCGGGACGTGGCGCAGTGTGTTAATCGCCTTATTTTTACTCCTTATTTGGCTCCATGTGTAGACGGTCATATTTGTCAGTGTCTGCATGTTTGTCAATACGTCAAATATTTTTCCAAATAGGTACATCAAACACCTAGGGAATGCAAAAACGCACCATATTTGATATCCGGATTTCGAAGACTGATTTCGCAGCGAATCTGGATTTTTTGGATGTTTTCGGAAATCGAAATGTAATATGAGTTGAATTCTTTGGTGCTACTTCTTGTTGGTGAAAATAGAATGGTGCGATGTACTGTCGAAAGCTTTTGTATAATAGACGAAGGTTAGATAAAGGGGCAGATCATGCTCATGGCTTTTTTCGATGAACATTCGTTAAACGCATGCAGATGGCTGGTGGTGGAGAGGCCGGAGCTGAATCCTGCTTGTTCTTCGAAACTACGCATAGGATTGCCTATCGTGAGACATTCCCACACTGGAAATCAGTCTTCTTAAATAATATAGATATAAATTACTAAACATAAGCCATTAGAATTATTAATACGAAGATCTAAAACTTAGAATAAATTCTTTCGATCCGGCCGGATTCGAACCGAAATCTTCTAGCGAACCGTGAATTGGTATTCAATTATTTTTTTGTGAAATTGCTCCACTAGTTTGTTATAATTATTAATACAATATATAATTGTTTTTCTAAGTATTCGATCTTTTAGAAATAACCTAACATTTTTTTCTCTGAAATAAAAAAGATCATAACCTTGTTTTATCATTTAACCTGCTGAGGATCTGTTGCATAAAACAGAAGAAGAATAAAAATATTAACAAAATTACGGATTATCCGGAATGCATGCTCTACAAACGCCCAATAGCGAATACACGTGCCACTATGATAACTACATTTGGCAAGTTATTTTCAATGTACCTCACAAGTTGGAGTCAATTATAATGTCACTGATTTGATTTTTATGTAAAGAAGGAGGCAATCGAGCAGACGAGCAACTTGATGGGAGGTGGTCATCGTCACCCATGGACATTTGCAACACCAGATGACCTGCCTATGCGTTGCCAGCCTATGAGAGCCCTGTAAGCACGCTTTTTGAAGAACCCCACGTCATAGCGCAAAGGAAATAATTCAGGAGGAAGAAGATTCGAGGAATAAATGAACGAGATGCCCGCGTGGTCTTACAATGCCAGGCATCTATGGGGATGTACTCTACTCCTTTGGCGATGGTAGAAACGAGACGGTGGCACCAGTTCGAAGTTTCTCGGAGCACTCCCCACAATAAAGACGATAGAAGACACGCAGAGAGCCAACGTCTCTGTGGGCTAACGGGCCCAATGATTGGAGTATATTTATTATATTACTACGAAACAATTGGGAATTGGGACGGGAAACATTTCGGATCCAAATCGTGTATAATTGTTTTTTCAAACATACCAACGTCTCGAACTCTTTACAGGTCCCATGGTCACGGCATAGACATAACTGGTTGACAACTTTACCGTCTCAGTCAACCGTGACCATGAGACCTATAAAGGGCCCAAAACGTTGGCTTGTTTAAAAAAATATACGCGATTTGCATCCAAAAAAAATAGTTTCACTGCATACTCAAGAGCAACTATCATTGAGGTCAGTTACTATCTGCGATGGCCCGTGTGGAAGTCCTTGAATCGACTTCGCACTCAAGTAGGGTGCTGCAGAAACAAGATGTATAGGTATATGAGGGTTCAGAGATGCTAGTCCAACACGACGGGACTCCGGTACCCCAACACAGTCCATGCAGCACATGCTCATTTGCTTCTCGTATCCTAAGGGAACCTGTAGTCGGGGAGATCTCTACACAACCATACGTTACGCGACCAAGGTGGCAACATACTAATACTATTCAAAGTCGAATAGTCCTAAAATATAAGAAGTATCGGCACTATAAGAAGAGGATTAGGTATACACAACCCAGTCCGCAAGACGTTTACCTCAAATTATTTGTTTATCCGCTCACGCGATACATGCAGCCGTAGACGCATACCACACCTAGAGGTGCGCGTGATGATTTTATACCGATTTATCGGATATCGAAGTTATAACAGGTAAAAGAACTAGTATTAATTGCTATTTCGGTAACTACTCTAGCAAACCATAAAGTTTTTAATGCCTGGGTCTATCATTTAAAAAAAATAAACAACTTCAAAAATACCACACGACAATCGTGAGTGTTATTGTTTGGTGTGGTGATTTCGGTGTTTATTTATTGAAAACATACCGTAAGTAGCGTTTTTTAAGTTTACCCTGAATATAAATGTTTATAATCTATACTTTAAGGAGTAATTTCAAGGTAAACGTTAGAACCACTCAAACGGTATATTATCATATTTATCCAAGTACACCAAAAATTTAATTAATGCTTTTTAAGTGCAGGATTTGCGGTGTATTACTGCATTACATTTGAGATGTTTTTGTTGGTAGTACGGAGGTTATTTATTTAGCAATGCAGAATAACAATTTTTATTTATAAATTCTAATTTGCTAAACCAAATAGCCGCCATTTTGCGGTAGGAGGAGCGCATCGCGTGAGCGGTTAGATCCAATGCAATACTTAAACTAATCACCATTGATTTAAAAGTAACTACACTACCAGAGATTTAGGCACGTGGTTCGACACTGAGCTCGCTTTCCGAGAACATATCACAAAAATTTATAAATCTTCCCGCAAGTGTCTCGGTTTCGTCTTAATACAGTCAAAGTCGTCAAAAATCAACCTCATATCGTGTCTTTTGTATAACTCTTTTGTTCGGAGCAAATTGGAATGTAACGCTATCATTTGGAACCCCGTCCATCACAACCACACACAAACATTAGAGAAAATTCAGAAGACAATTGCTCTAAATTTATACAAGAAGATGTACGGATATTACCCCTTACTTTATTATCCCACAATATTTATTTTAGGTATGGTAAATTATTGAATGACAGAAGTGTGTTGCAATCTGGCTCTTGTAACTTATATGTTTCGTCTGGTACGGGGAATAATATACAACCCATTTTTGTTGTCCAAGGTAGGCTTTATGGTACCTAGAACTAATCTGGTGCGACTTCATCGAATCAGGTTATTTGCAGTACCTATCACACGATGTAGAGTGAGTGAGATGGCCCCTCTGACCCGAGCACTTAAGTATCTAAATCAGTTGCTTAACTTTGACTCCTCGTTGGACCTTTTTGTATGCTCAGAATCAAAATTCATGTTTTCCGCAGGACGATATCTGGAGTCCTTGACCGGAGACAGAAGTATTAAGTAATAGGTATTATGTGCTAGTTTAAAATTTAATAACAAATGTATTTTATCTATTTTTTCATTAATGTTAATCTGTAATCATTTATTGTTTATGGTATTGTATTAATAATTTTATCAATTTCATATTTTATTCATTTTTGTAATTTACTTAATATTGTTTGTTCATTTAGCTTTAAATCTTACTCTTGCGTTAGGGTTGACTGTAAGCAATATGTAATAATTAAAATAAATAGATAAATAAATAAATACAGATTGTAACAGTACATTAAACGACAACAACTAATTACTCTAATAAACATAACAAATTACTTAGAAGGCAATTTTAGTCGGTCAATTGTTCTCATATAAGTACAATAATTATCTTCTATTTATTTATTATTCAGTCACGCATTGTGGTCGGAAAGAAATTTTAGTCACAAGTGTACGGGTACTGCAGTATGTACGTTTACTAGAGAAACAAAATTAATACCAGTGTTAAAAAAGTTAAATATGAAAATAATACTGACAAAGCTTTTATTTTTAATGATGCTAACTGTGCATAATGTAGCAAGTGACCAGCTAAAACAAGTGGTTGTTTTAGGAAGGCATAACATAAGAACTCCTCTAGCAAATTTAAAAATGTATACCTCAAAAGAGCAGCTCAAATGGAGTCAAGAGAATGGCTTTTTAACCACTAAAGGCGCTTTGTTAGAGGAGTATTTGGGTGAATACTTTTCTGATTATTTGAGAAAAGAAGAGTTGCTAACGAATGAATGTCCAAACGATTCTTTAGTTCACGTATATGCTAATATTTATCAAAGAACAAGAAAGACAGCTGAGCACTTTATTAGAAGTGCCTTTAAACAGTGTAATATAACAATTAATGTTAAACCTAACATTACAAGTGATCCAGTTTTCTATCTTGTTATACTAAATGATACGGAGAGTTTTCAAACTATAGCGCGTAAAGAAATGCAAGAAAAATTGGACGAAATGGATCTTAAAGACGCTTACATGAGATTGAACACGATCCTGGATATCAAAACCTCGTATTTATGCAAAGTTAATAGCTTATGTGATTTGACAAAAGAAAATGATAATATCACCTTGATATATGGGGATGAACCTAATGTTATAGGACCTTTAAAAATTGGGAATGAGATCACTGATGCACTACTAATGGCTTATTATGACGGAGAAAACTTGTCGAAGATTGGGTGGGGACAAATACAGCCGGAAGACTGGAAACTACTGGCAAAGTTGACAAAGAAGCATTTAATGGTACGCTTTGGTTGTACACATGTAGCAAAACATATAGCAAAACCATTATTAAACTACATTAAACAAGTATTCTTGGAGGAAAAACATAAATTCACCTTGTTAGTTGGACACGATTCCTGTATTAATTCTGTTTTAACTTCTATAGGTGTTGAACCATATGATTTAGCTGGTCAAAACGAATATACTCCTATAGGAGGTAAAGTTGTATTCGAAAAGTGGTACGACGACGTTGACTATTATCTGAAAATAAAATACGTTTATTTATCAACGGAACAGATAAGACATGGAGCCAGAATATCAGAGGATAATCCAGTACATAAAGTTTATTTGAAATTGAGAGATGTTGAGGTTAATAATCATGGTCACACTTTATTTACTGAGTTTATGAAAATTTTAAACAATTTGTTATAGAGTAGTTTCGTTCTCAAATACGTTTGCACGACTATGTGTATTGTATTTGTTCTGAATTACACCTTTATTTACCATCGATAAAAAACGAGAGTTATACGTATAAGAATGACACACGGCGATAAACGGTGATAAATTTAACGGTGATAAACGCGCGTTTTATAGGCGATTGCATCGATACAAACGCGCGATTCCATCGATGCAATCACCTGTAAATCCTGAGTGTAACGATGCAATCGCGCGTTTGTATTAATGCAGACACGTGCTTGCATCGTTGCTTAAAATCTCGCGTGTGCGTAAAGGTTGACGATTGGCGACTGCATTGCTGCTGCATCGCTGTTAAAAGTGGCCATGTGGAAACGCTCTTAAGACTCAACTCACACTGGCGCAGAGTCGAAACGTCGCGACGCTTCATGTTTTTCGCCTATAGCATATTCATCTCTATTTTCCCATTATTAAGGTACAAATTTGTGTTATGCAAATACGGAAACGGCGTCGACGCTTGGTTGAAGTCGAGCAGCTTCACGCGTCGACGCGCGTCACTTGAGCGCAGTAAGGCGTCAGACGCCAACCACGCTGTGATCCGGGCGCACTAAGCGCACGAGCGTCGCCGAGCGTTGTAGTTTAAAAACAGGACGCGACGCGACGCTTCGATTCTGCGCCAGTATGAGTTGAACCTTAGCCTTTCTGTGTGTACCTGTGTGTGTATGTCAATCTGTCTGTGTCATCGTAGTTTCCAAACGGATGGAGTGATCTCAAAGTATTCTTAGCTGAGCTGGATGAATATTTTCTTTATAGTTTATTGACCAAAATACAGAAAAAATACTTATTTACTTATTACAAGCTTCGCCTATAAAAGCCCTTCCGGTTTTATCCACGGCGAAGGACAGATCCTATCTCAATTATCTATTTCAAGGTCATCGGCTCTTTTACAGTTTCTTACGGATCTCTGTCATAAAATGAATATTTATTTATTTACCTGTTTCCACCAGTACGAACGATTTGAAATTTAATATACCTATGACGGAAATCCGATGACGTTACAATGATAAGGACAGTACCTATGCCTCATATTACTTATAGTAGAAATACTGTATTTGGGATCACTGATTTGGTATCGACAAGTTGTAACATTACAGATTTTGTTTCTAATCGTTTACATCGACTATAGCCGACGCTTACACTTGAACGCTCGACAGCACGCATTTGCTGCAGATGTGCAGTCCATCTGTTAGCAGTCATCAGTCAATCAGTCGAGGCAAGCAACTGGAAGAATCTATAATGCAGTGTTATGCTCATTTACACCGAGACTTCTGCTTGCCGAAGGTGATGCAGTCGACTCGCCATCTGCCGTTTACTAACTAAACGGGCTAAGTGACAAAATCATTTTTGGAGATATCATAAAATAACACAACCCAGTTTTAGAATATTGAAATTGTTAGATGATACCTCCGCTATATTCGGGTCTATTCGAGAAGTCGAACACGTTAACTAATTTTAAATGATTTTAAAAGAGATTTTTGTGCTCTATCGTTTGCTTTTTAAAACGTATATTTAACCCTTTCTCACTTACCCGCGTTTTAGTTAGTGGACGGTAAATTTACACCCAGTCGTTTGCTGTCTTCGGCTACTACTTCTGGATTATTTCGCCAATCGACTGCGGCGGCAAACTACTGTCGTCAGATAACTTAGCGACGACTGGGTGTAAATAGTGTCACCACAAAGCAAAATATCCTATCTACAACATTTAGAGCTCAGTCGATGCTCTACACTATCTGAGCTCAAGAGCCGACCTTTTGGTTCTGAGCCTTCTTACGCTGTTGGTGTTCTAGCTCTCGTAGGATCGTTAACGTTCGGTGGACTGTATTTGTTTAGGTTCTTGATCTGGATCGATGGGGTTCTTGCTCTTCTCGGGATCAGGATCGTAAATGAAACACTTGTTCAACTGCTTATTGACTACTAACTACTACCTCCTTTATTGCTCAAAATGTTCCTACTTAAGTACTAAATCAACTCTCTCATCTAGTAGAGATGTCGGCGAGTAGGCGGTCGGCGCGGTGCGCGGGGCACGGGGGGGCGGCGACTCCGTACGACGCTGAGTGCGGGGTGCGGGGAACGGCGACGCGCTCTCGGTTGGAGCGCGGGGCGCGGAGTATGTGTCTCGGTGTCCGTAACATATGCATTCATCAGAAAAATGTAGAGAAGTTCCATCTTTTTCATTGAAATTCGTACTTATGGAACGCATTTAAAGATTAAATTGGCTTGAAAAATTTAACTTAAAACGTCATTCTCTAATGATGCAATAAAAAAGTCATACCAATATGAATTTTACAGATCACTGGTAAATGTTTTGTTTCTTTAACACTTTTTTCATACTGATCTACTCAAAATCATATAGGCAGTTGGTTGGGGGTCAGGTATTTATTTATTCATTAGCTTACAATACATTTTTGCTTAATTGACTTGGACGTTCTACATTGTAAATACAACAATTTTAAGTAATGACGGCAATCTCAAAACAACATAAACAAACTATATTAAAATTTTCGACAAATTAACATACATTTAAATGGCGTCTCATGTACTCAAAGCGCAGGCCACATATCCGTACACGTAGCGCTCAATAGCATTATCGTAAAGGCCTTCACCAGCGCTAAGATACTTTCAGATCTCGAGCCCACTGGCATCTGTCGCAGTGACTGTAAGATACCTGACGGTATGACTATCGAACCATGGAAGCCAGGGAGACAGCAAGTGTGGGACGCAACCTGTGTGGACACTGTAGCCCCCGCCCATGTCCTTGCAAGCGTGGGCGGCGCAGGCCTTGTGGCCAGAGCGGCCGAGTACCGCAAAAAGCTCAAATACGCCAACCTTGCTCAGTACTACAGGCCTTTTGCGGTTGAAACCCTGGGTCCCTAGGGGCCACAGGCGAAACTTCTAGCGTTTGAGCTGTCGGATCGCCTCGTAGAAGCCGCCGGTGACCACAATGCTGGCAGTTATTTTCGCCAAGAAGTAAGTTTAGCAATTCGAAGGGTAAATGTTGCCAGCCTTCTGGGCACGATGCCCCAGGAAACGGACCTCGATGAAATTTTCTATAAATTTTATTACTTTTTTATGTATCTACCCGCAATGAATACTAATTTAAATCACATAGCAATAGAATACTGTATTCCTATTGAGAAGTAGAGTATAGGAACTTAGATAATTAAACTTATTTTAGTTAATGAATTTACTTTTGAAAGATAATATCGATTATTATCACCAAATGTATCTAAATCAGGACTGCTAGCATTTCTTTCGTGGTATGTTTTACACATTCTTTTAATAGGCGATTGATATCGGATATCTTCAAGCATCGACTGTACTTTTTCTCCGTGTTCCATAGCTGTGGAATGAGCTGTTTATTATATAGACAACGCAAACCTAATACGCGTAATTTTTGAGCTAGAATTGAGCTTAACCTAAAAATAGACCTTACATTGCCACACGCCGACACTTTCATAAGGCCTTGTGCAGCGTGCAGTTTGCGACGTATTGTCCTAATATACTCATTTCGAGTAATTTGAATGGAGAGTAAAAAAACAACATAGATTATTTTTGTACACAGTCATGATTTTTCGCACTCTTTGGTATGTACAATAAAGCCATGTGTGAATGTCAAAAGCACTTTTATTTATGTCATTACAATAATACTTACAAGAATACACAATACCAAGTGATGGGACCGACAAATCGTGCGCCTGGTGGTAAGCGACACGTCTATCCATCACATTTACAGTGCCACTCAGAGCTTTAAATCGCAAAGATCTTAGGGGCACTGCCACTGCCAGTCACCTTGAGACATAAGTTGACAAGATCCATGTGCCTTTAATTTCACCAGCACCTTTATAATGCCGTTTGAACGATTTTTTACAGTATAAATCTTACCGAATAAACAGTGGCGCAATGGTTAGGCCATTTATTTGAATTCACACGGTGTTTGTTTTGCAAAAAAAACGCACACAGCTTAATAAGTTTATCGAATACGCAACGGACTTGTCAAACAAATCGAATGAACTTTAACGTATTCGGTGTGCACGTGCAGTGGCGCATAGTACCTATTAATGCATCTCTTTCACACATCGAACAGTCATCGAATAAGCGGCGTCTAGTATAGAAGTATCTTTTGGAAGGCACGCATAATTTTATTAATACCATACCAATTTTCAAATGTGTGTACGCACTGCTTCTTGATTCATTGGATGAACCCAATATCTTCTACGTCCTAATTTTGATTCAAATTGGAATCGATCTGATCGGGTAGTCTCGAGATCAGACGGGTTTCTGAGCGAGAAGAAGAACCTGATTCCTATTATATCTTTCTAATTTGTCAGTTACATCAACTATTGTTCCGATTAGAAATGTCAAAAGTTTCTCTTCACTTGTGAATCGCAATTATGCGCCTCGACTCGGAAAACACGCAGTTTCCGATCGGGAGAGGCAATTAAAATCAAGCTGCTGTTCTTCCGGCAACAAAGCCGTTTGCGTCTTCTATGCCAATATAAAAGTGCAACAAAGCGTGGATCCATCACAGACGTGTTTTCAAGGCGATTGCTCAAATTCAAATTCAAATTCAAAATAATCTTTATTTCATAGGTAAGCATTATTACACTTGAAATCGTCACAATGGTTAAACTCTACCGCTCATTCGTCAGGCAGATTCCCCTGAGAAGAATGAGCAACAAACTCTAGGGATTGCTCTTTGTAAATAACATTTACAATATTTTTTTATTTGAAACATCAGATTGAGACTACCTCCATGAGCTAAACGGGTTACTACCACGGATTTTTGTCATCCAAGTACGCAGAAGTTGTATAATAACCTTTAGTATAAAGTTTTTGTTTCACTATAGTTTTAAACCTCGTGAAAGGCAAATTTTGTATATCAACCGGAATCTTGTTATAGAAGCGTATACATTGCCCCTTAAATGATTGTTTGACTTTGTGAAGACGACTATCAAGAAAAGCTAGTTTATTTTTATTCCTCGTATTAATGTTATGTCTGTCACTATTTTTCATAAAGAAATTACTATTCCTTTTAACATAAATTATATTTTCATAAATGTATTGTGAGGCTAGCGTAAGAATGTTAATTTCCTTAAACTTATCTCTCAAAGATACTTTGGGGCCCAGATTGTAAATTGCCCTAACTGCACGTTTCTGCAGGACAAAGATTCTATTGATATCGGCGGCATTACCCCAAAGCAAAATGCCGTATGTCATTAGACTGTGAAAGTAGCTGAAGTAAACCAATCTCGCGGTTTCGACGTCTGAAAGTTTCCTTATTTTTTTAATCGCGTACACTGCAGAGCTGAGCCGTTTTGACAACTTACTTATATGGGGACCCCATTGCAATTTAGCATCTAACGTTATACCTAGAAATACAACTGTATCCACAAGATTCAATTTTTCGTTTCTAACTACAATGTTTTGTGTACTGTATTGCGGCTACTCGTGTTTTAAACGCATGAACATATATCGTCAGTTGTAGGATCAATTAACGTAACCACCAAATGGGCGAAGATGAGTTATATATACAGTTCGACAGGAAATTTGGCCCAATCGAATGGTGCTGTTAAAACAATTATATCTTGAAAAAAATAGCGGTTACCTTACAAAAAAACGAAGATTCATTGGTAAAATAACACAAAAATTTAGTGTATGATAAGGAAGGTTACGTTAATGTAGTAAGACCCAAGGTCTTACTACTAAATTAACGTAATGACTATGCCTACAAAAACGTTGTGTTGTTATATCTATGGTTGCAATACAGTAATCGCTAAAACTTTTATCTGTTACATTAAACTCACAGTTATTTAGAATAAATAATTATTAGTTACTTTAACTAATATCGTATCTTTTTTTCAAGAAATGGAACTTAGATTAATATTTTTATGTTATTACAGTAACTTGTTACTCAAACGTGGAATAAAAATTACGAAACAGGATATTTAAGTTAAATGGAAATGGAATTTACTTCCCTAGTAATATTTTAAACCCAAAAAATACTTACTTATACTTATATGTATAACAAGTTTTGATATAAACCTTAGTTTCGTACTGGTTAGAAAATGAAATAATTGTATTCTAATTACATTTCTTTAACGTGAATATGCACTTAAACTATGATATTTTTTACACATATTTGACGGTAAGATTATATAGGTGATTGACTTAGCGATTCAAGTGAACTATGTATTGCCAGGACATACGTACATGCCTGTTGACTCCATGCATAGTGTCAACGAACGTTAGATACTAAACCTTATTTTGTGGAGTCCTAAACAAATGGGCTACATTCATACTTACCGCGCTAAAATTTCCGCGCCCATACGATGTTAAAGTCTTAGGCTACGTCGATTTTACTGGTTGACAAATAATTAATTACTGGACAAGTATTTACGGCTAGAACTAGGCCTAATAAAAACTTGAAATTAAGGGACATAAGGATTGCAACTTTAAAAAAAAACAAATTTAAACGTCATGAAAATTAAATACTCTATGAAAGAAGACGCTGAATATTAAAAAATTCCACTGGACCATGATACAAAAAAGAAAATAACCGGACTAAAAGAAAAAAGATGCAGTAAAGATTCATTATCAACGATTAAAACCCGCATTGTAGTTGCCAGGAGTGCTTTTAATTCTATGAGGAAAGTATTATGTTGCCGTTGTCTTAAGATTCCTTTGCACACTCGACTTATTCAGTGTTACATCTGGCCAATACTTCTATACGGATGTGAGGCCTGGACAATAAAAGAGAATCTCAGGAAACATATTGAAGCATTTGAAACGTGGGCCTACAGAAGAATGTCGTCCATGATAAGGACTCAGAATGTCACCAATGAAGAAGTTCTGCGACTCGTTGGACAGAAGCGTAAACTTTTGCAGATCATCAAACAGATAAAAGTTGCATATTTGGGTCGTGTACTTAGACGTGACAAATACGAGCTTCTGCAACTAATAATTATGGGAAAAGTTGCTGGTAAAAGGAAAGCTGGTCGCAGGAAAAATTTTGGCTGAGGAACATACGAGAGTGGACTGGGATAGCGAGTGCCGCTCAACTATTCAGCCTCGCCAGGAATAAAGATAAATATGCTAAGCTGACTGCCAATCTTCACTAGTTGGAGAGGCACCTTAAGAAGAAGAAGAATCAACCATTACCAATACAATCAATAAAAAAAGGCTTTATGCAAACCCAGTAACTATTTCAGCAAAAAAATACCATGATTTGAAAAAACTATGTAACGATAGTGTGATTCCCAAGCAGTACGTATATGGGTATGGAGCCCCTTAGCCTACGGAGAGACGTTGGCTCTCTGTGTGTGTTCTACCGTCTTTATAATGGGGAGTGCTCTAAGAAACTTTTCGAACTGGTGCCACCGTCTCGGTTATACCATCGCACCTCCCGCCAAAAGAGTAGAGTCCATCCCCACATCTTAGATGCCTGGCATTGTAAGATCACGCGGGCATCTCGTTCGTTCCTTCCTCGAACCTGCAAAATGTGGAATGATCTTCCTCCTGTAGCATCTCCCTTGCGCTATGACATGGGGTTCTTCAAAAATCGCGTTTACAGGGTTCTCAAAGGCTGGCAGCGCATAGGCAGCTTATCTGATGTTGCAAATGTCCATGGGCGCCGATGACCACCTCCTATCAAGTGGCTCGTCTGCTCGTTTGCCTCCTTCATTACATAAAAAAAAGTACGTTCAAGACTATCTGAGCCTCCCTTATATGTTGACAAAATTGATATCCTGACATCGATCATCAAGATCTAGGTGAGTGCAATAAAAACATCGAAGATGACATACTAGATGTTGAGAACTATGTACTTGAATCGACTGAAAGAAGCAAAAGGAAAATAGCTGGTAATGAAAAAACAGGAACGGAAGAAAAAACGCAATGAAGAAAAAGGAATTTTGTAGCCAAATGTTTGGTAAGAAAGGATCGGGGTGGAAAATGAAAAGTATCGTGAGAAAACAAATGAAAATAAATTATTTGTAGGAAATGAAACTATTTTTCCGGATTTAAATCGCGTATATTTGTTTTTTCAAACAAACCGACCTATTTTTTCAAGAAAACCTAAGAACTCGATATAAATTATTTGGTCAGAAAAAGAAAACTCAAGGGAAAATAAAGCATGGGATATAGCAAGTGAAAGGCAAAGGCAAACGAACCCAAGACTGGCGGCAAAAAAAATTACTTACATACGCTTGATAATTATGATTATTTTAAAATTTTATATGCTTTGTTTTAATTTAATAGCCTTTTTGATTTATGGTGTTTAGATTAATGACAAGATTTTATATTGATATTGATATATATATATGAATAAAACTTGCACTTTTGAGATAATATTATTTTGTATGACTTTTTAGTTTCAATTAATAAAAACTTTCGTGTTACTTCGAAGCGTTTTGAAGGCGTTAAAAACCTAAATTCCTTAGTGAACAGTATATATAGTGCAAGTCACAATTCATAAATGTCATGCGAGATACGTTAAAAATTATATTATATTTTGTCAGTTACGCCATAGTCAACATTCAATGTTATAAAATATTGCAAATGTATATATATATGATGTGATGTATATATATTTTTGTAATATTCTTAGTGTTTAAAATAAATAAATAAATAAATAAATAAATAGCGTGTAACGTAACGTATTTGGAACAAGAAAAAAATCTTTCAAACTATCAGCACTAGATTTATGCAATTAGATTGGGTTAAAGGTCCTTACAATTGTAAGAAACTATGTTCAAACTTCATACCAATAAGATGAAAGCAAAAAAGTTATAGCAATTTTTCAATTTTTTTTTACATCTGTAGAAGATTATATTCCCTAAACACTTGAATATCCTTCATTTTACGCGGATGAAGTCCAGAGAACGATGGCTAGTTTACTATAAACTTAAATCAGTCGCACAATTATAACAAAATTAATAAGATAAGATATGCAGCGTTAACAGCGTAATAAATTTGTCTGTTTCTTTATCACTCAGTCAAGCGCTGCGAGCAGAGAGAACCGGTAGTCACAGCCGAACGGATACCGCGCGGTTAACGCTCGCGAAAATTTATTTCCGGTCTACAAAATTCAAAGCACTTCCAAAGAAGTGTAACGTTGAAATAATGCCGGCAAAAATATTATTCTTCATCATGGTAATTGCGCATTGTGTATCAGGTGACCAACTAAAACAAGTGCTAGTTCTAGGAAGGCATAATATAAGAACTCCTCTAGTAAATTTAAAAATTTACACTTCAAAAGAGCCACTCAAATGGATTCAAGAGAACGGATTTTTAACCACCAAAGGCGCTTTGTTAGAGGAATATTTGGGTGAACACTTTTCGGAATATTTGAGGAAAGAAAAGTTGCTAACAAATGAGTGTCCCGACGATACTTTAGTACACGTATATGCTAATGCTTATCAAAGAACAAGAAAGACAGCAGAGCATTTCATTAGAAGTGCTTTTAAACATTGTAATATAACAGTTAATTATAAATCTAATGTAACAACTGATCCAGTTTTTCATCCAATCGTACTAAATGATACGGAGAGTTTTCAAACTATAGCGCGCGAAGAAATGCAAGAGAAATTGGACGAGTTGGATCTTCAAGACGCTTACATGAGATTGAATACGATTCTGGATATCAAAACCTCAGATTTATGCAAAATTAATAACTTATGTGATTTGACAGAAGAAAATGATAACGTTACTCTGATATACGGAGACGAACCAAATGTCATGAGACGTTTTAAAATTGGGAACGAGGTCGCTGATGCACTGCTAATGGCCTACTACGAAGGAGAAAACTTGTCGAAAATTGGATGGGGGCTAATGCAGCCGAAAGACTGGAAACTACTGGCAAAGGTGACACGGGAGAATCAAAATATACGCTTTGGTAGTCCAACGATAGCTAAAAACGTCGCGAGACCGTTATTGAACTACATTAAACAGGTTTTCTTGGAGGAAAAATATAAGTTCACGTTATTAATCGGTCACGATTCGAATATAAATTCTGTTTTAACAGCTATAGGTGTTAAGCCTTATGATTTAGTAGGTCAAAACGAAAAGTTTCCAATTGGGGGTAAAGTTGTTTTTGAAAAATGGTACAATGGCAAAGATTATTATTTGAAAATAAAATATCTTTATCTATCAACGGAACAAATTCGAAATGGAGGCAGAATAACAAAGGACAATTCTATTCATAAAGTTTATTTAAAGTTGAAAGATGCTAAGGGTAATAAACAAGGTCACTATTCATTTGCGGAGTTCATGAAAATCTTAGAAAAAATGTATTTATTATAAAGAATATTTTATGTTGAATGAATTTGTGAAACTTATATTGTAATTTATTGGTAATAATAACTTGGAAAGCGCAATTCGTTGTTTATTTATCATAGACCCGTGGCCAGCAGTGGGATGTATAAATGAGTTAACGATAACGACGATTGGTACGTTTCTTAAATTGTGTTTTTTTTTGGGATAATAAGTAACCTCTATAAGATATTTTTCTGTCATATCAAGCAATATATCAAAATAAAATGATATTTTACATTTCCCGATATTGCCGCTGGCCAATCAACCCGTGACCATGGAGCGTGTAATCGTTCCTTAATATCGGGAAAATAAAAAGAAATCATATCGTGGTAAGAAACCTATGAAGTCAAAATATGTTATTTTGTATTTTGATGATTTTATGATTTTATGTTAGAATACATCTCATAAAAGTTTGTGGAATGGATGTGTATCCGGGTAGTGTGTTTACAAGATATGGAAAGTTTGATGAGGATATTAAAAGAAGTGTACGACAGGGATACGCAGTAAATGTAGCCATAAATGGTTTAATGGTAAGCAACATCTTATCACAAAAAACACACATGTCCATACACAATGCTTTGCTGGTTCCCACACTGACATTTGGTAGTGAGAGTTGGGTATGGCAGAAGAAGCATGAAAGTAGAATTAAGGAGTGGAGATGTGATCTTTGAGGAAATTTTGTGGTATAAAGTTGAATGATAGAGTGAAGAATACAATAATACGTGAAAGATGTGACTTGAAAGAGGATGTGGTGACTAGAATAGAGAAAGGAATGTTCAGGTGGTTTGGGCATGTAGAGCGGATGGATGTAAGAAGAATTAGAGCCTATGTACACGGCGTATTTTACACGCGGGTGTCATCTGCGTGTATACGCGCATGTATCGCGCATTTTGATAAGAATTACTTTTAATTTTAGTTTTATTAGTTAGTTTCAGTTAATTTTTGAAAGGAAGCAGCTATATGAAATTCTAAATGCAAACTCCAGTGGTGTGTATAGGCTTCATGCTTGCAAAGCGATGATTGCACGCGTTTAAATCGATTCACTACAGAACGTCTGCACAACTTATGGCTCTTACAGATTTATAATGCGAACGTAGAGGTTTTAAGAGGACGTCTCAGAAGGACTGACATTGACCAGATCAATGACGTCCTCTAAAAGGCTGGGATCCAAAGTGACAAGTACCTATAAAAGAAGTTGTATGAAAAGTTGATGTAATTTTTTAAAAATAAATTTTAACCCATTTAGGTAGACAAAGGTTTCACCATACAGCCTCTTCAAAATTAGACGAAAGCCAAACGCTATAAAACAAAAAACCAAAGAGATAGAGTAGAAGTGGCCAAGTGTCCTTTAAATATTAAACAATCATCTTAGGCCAATTTAGCTAATCAGGAGGCAGTATAAGCGTTTGAGTAGCGGCCTAATTGATATTTTAATTAGCAAAAATACGATTTTATTTTATGAAACTTATTGTAGTTCAGTATATAGTACTCTAATATACAGTATAGGTCTGTCTATAGATCTTCAATCATTGACTTACAAATAAATGGACGACGGGTCTAATACAAAAACCACGAAAAAAATGTCCCAAGTCAACTTATTTCAACGTAGTGACATGTAAAGGAATATGAAAAAGCTAAAACGTTGAATTTAAATTGTAATGTCATCGCAGTACTGTCTAATTTTGCTTGCTTCGCTGTCAGTCGAA